GGCCAAAGATCGGGCCCGCGAGGAGATGTTGGAGACTCTGAACAGAGACCCGTGGGGACGCCCCTACCGCATGGTGCGTGATAAGCTCCGCACCTGGGCGCCCCCACTGACTCAGAGTCTCCGGCCGGAGGTCGTGGACGAAGTGGTTGGGGCGCTATTCCCCCGACCACAGATAGGTTACATGCCTCCCACTATGTCTCCGCCCCCTGCGGTGCCCAATGCGGGCTACAACGACGACGACGGTGAATCCGCTCCGGAAGTGACCGAGGTAGATTTGAGGGTGGCGGTGCGCCGGCTGAGCGGCAAGAACACCGCCCCAGGACCTGACGGGCTGCATGCCAAGGTTTGGGTCCTGGCCTCGGAGGCTCTCAGGCCTCGACTAATTGGTCTTTTCAGCGCATGCTTGGAGAGGGGCCAGTTTCCGCTGTCGTGGAAGACGGGTAAACTGGTCCTCGTGAAGAAGCCGGGGCGTCCTGCGGACTCTCCGTCCGCGTACCGGCCCATTGTGCTGCTCGACGAGGTGGGAAAACTGTTCGAGAGGATAATATCAGACCGCCTCGTCGGGCACCTGTCTGGAAGGGGGCCGGATTTAGCGGACGGCCAGTTCGGCTTCCGCAGAGGGCGCTCCACGGTGGACGCCATCATGCGCGTGAGGGACCTCACGACGGGGACTGCGTTGGCCAGGGGGCGAGTCGTCGTGGCGGTGTCTCTGGACATCGCCAACGCCTTCAATTCGTTGCCCTGGAGCTGCATTCTGGAGGCACTCCGGTATCACCGGGTGCCTGCCTATCTCTGTCGTGTAGTCGAGGCTTACTTGACGGACAGATGCGTCATCTACCCCGGTCACCGGGGCGTGTGGAATCGGCGAGAGGTGTCGCGCGGTGTTCCACAGGGATCGGTCCTGGGACCTCTCCTGTGGAACATCGGGTACGATTGGGTGCTACGCACCGACCTCCCGAGCGGCGTCAGCATTGTTTGTTATGCTGACGACACGCTGGTGCTGGCGAATGGGAGGTCACATCAGGCGGCGGCCGACCTGATGTCGCAAGCGGTCGCGACAGTCGTTGCAAGGATCCGGCAGTTGGGACTCGAGGTGGCGCTTCACAAATCCGAGGCCATGTGTTTTTATGGCCGTCGGAACGCGCCACCTCCAGATGGGTCCCAAATAATGGCAGGAGGAGTTACCATCGGCGTCGAGTCGGCGATGAAGTACCTGGGTCTCGTCCTCGACAGCCGATGGAATTTCACGGAGCATTTTCGTCGTTTGGCTCCTAAGTTGGAACGGTCTGGGGCCGCGCTCAAGCGGCTCCTTCCCAACCTCGGGGGGCCAAACGCCTCCTGCCGGAGGTTGTACATGGGGATTGTGCGATCCATGGCCCTCTACGGTGCCCCTGTGTGGGCGCCGGATTTGAAGCGGCGGCCGGCTCGTACGCTGGCCGCGTCCCAGAGGGTCATGGCTATCCGAATAATCCGCGGATATCGCACAATCTCCGGGGAGGCGGCGAACCTCCTTGCCGGATCACCGCCATGGGATCTGGAAGCGAAGGCGCTCGCGCGCGTCTACAGTTTGCGCGCAGACGCGCGTCGCCGGGGCGAGGATCCTCTGCCGCGCCAAATTAGTGCGTGGCGGAATGAGCTCCGGCGAGATCTCATGGCTGAGTGGAAGCAGCGACTGTCGCAACCGAGGGCCGGGCACGCTACTATAGCAGCGGTAAGACCCCTCTTTGAGGAGTGGCTTGAGAGACGCCACGGCGTCCTCACCTTCCGCCTGACGCAGGTGCTTACCGGGCACGGCAGCTTTGGTAGGTTCCTGTTTCGGATCCAGCGGGAGGAAACGCCCGAGTGTCGTCATTGTGAGGATCACCTGGAGGACACGGTGGAGCATACGGTGGCGGAGTGCCCTGCTTGGGCTGAGCACCGCCGTGTTCTCAGGGAAGTGATCGGCGGCAGCGACCTCTCGCGCCCGGCCTTAATCGAGGCCATGGTGCAGCGTGAGAGGAACTGGGAAGCTATCTCCTCCTTCTGCGAAGCAGTAATGCTCGCAAAGGAGGAGGCGGAGCGCGTGAGGGAACTATCCTCCTCGCGCCCCAGCCGCCGCAGAAGGCGACATTCCGGACGTCGGGGATCGAGGGATGATCTCCGGCCACCGTAAGCGCGGGTCTGCGGACGGCGAGTAAGGGTAGCTCGCCGCCCGACCAGAACTGGACCCGAGCGTACGGCGCGTAGCGTTCCGCGCGCGCCTCAAAGAGCCAATAGACCACCACAGTCGGGGCCCTAAAGGGCTGATGTTTAGCCGGGGCTGCGGGGTAAGCGCAATGAGGCACCGCGACCTCGGCCCAGAGCAGGAGAAGGAACGGGGGGGTTTTTAGTCAGTAAGAGTCTGACACTCTCTCTCGCCTTACCCTGGGCGGGAGAAGTCATTGGATGATTTTCCCCTGACAAAAAAAAAAAAAAAAAAAAAAAAAAGTGTGAAGTGAACTGTATATTTGCAGTGAAGGTAATATCTACCTATGTTAGTCTATTCGTGCTAATCAAAAGACGAAGGAACTACTATGAGGTATTAATTAGGTAGTGGTAGTTAGTCACCGACCCAACGACACCCCTGCATAGGTAGATACCTATTTTATTTTATACCGGCTAGGTAGGTAATTTGGTCGGGACACTGATCTGCTTAGAAGCCACTCAATCGTGTTGTCTCGGCGAGCAAGTCGCGCACCCTTCACCACGGAGACAGTAACCGCTGACCAACCTGTCAATTTTAGTTTATTTCATCGCTAGGTAAAAGGTGCGGTCCAATGCGCTATGTCACGCTTGGTCCGTGGTAAATTCTGCAATGTTAGGCTAAGTAATTATCTATCTACCTTATGTTGATTCTTCCTATTAGAAGCGTGTGTGTAGCGTGTATTTTAGCAAAAAGTGTATTTTACGAAGCGATTGTAACGAACAAAAATGTCTTCTTAGATTATATTCATCAGCTACCTAGTGACCTATAAACTACTTTTAAAACGCTCCATTGTACAAAGCCATCCTCGTATAATTGCAACAAATAATGACTTTTACCGTTCTCTTTCAGTAGAACATGAAAACTCCATAAATTCGCGATTAGGCCAAACGAGCTCCCATTTAGTTTGATGTCGGCAGCCATTACAAAATTCAGGAAGCTAAAGTTCAAGTCTTAATTTTGGATCATTCGTTAGGTATATATAATGTTTGGTCTGTGACCTAACTCCCTCGTGTATCTAATAATTTTACCAACATTAATATTTCATTTCATTTCATTTCATTTCTTGGTAGCATTTTAAGGATTTGGCTCTAATTTCTTATTTCATTTCATAGATATTTGTGTAACCTTGTCTTTCTCTCTGAGTTGAGACACGGACATGTCAATAGCATAACTATCAAACAAAAGAAATTTAGAAAACCGGAATTCACGACCAATAAATCAGCGTAGATCAATTTTTAATAACATCACTCATCCAAACAATATCTAGAACCATCTCCGACTTTGAGTAAATTTAATTTCCCTGTTTTTGCTTTATCGGGTTTTATCGTAACACTGAAGTCAAGGCGAGCTTAGCATTATGTGACTCTGTTTATTGTCAGACGTAGGAAACAATAATAATCAGCAAATTGAGGTAACAACTGTACCTACCAATTTAACTCACCAGAGTAAACCAATAGATAACCAACCATTCAAAGCGCTCTGATTATTATCTCATTATATTGAAACACTAGCTTTTGCCCGCGAGTAGTGACTTCCTGCTAATTTTTTGTATAAAAATCTATCCTATGTCCTTTCTCAAGTTCCAAACTATGTCTGTACCAAATTTCACAGAAATCGGTTCAGTAGTTTAGGCGTGAAGGAAAGACAGACAGACAGACAGACAGACCGACAGACAGACAGAGTTACTTTCGCATTTATAATATTAGTTTGGATATAGCAGTTAGAATGTAGAGACCTACGTAAAATATATTAATTTGTAATGGTGCTTTACAATTTAGGATAAAAGCACGTCCGGCCAGTAACACGTAGCAGCTAGGTGCAAGGTGCACGCGCGGCGTGACCCTCTTAGTATCCTATACGTTCAACATCCATATTTCACTAAAGAAAGTCGTTGAGAAAACTGCAAATATGAAATAATATGATTATACTCTAATATTCGCTCGGCGTCTTCAGGAAATAGGTTTTTTTACGAGCGTGTGCCACGATTCCACGTTTTGCATCAGAGTTGAAAGTTGATTTAATTTCGTTGGAAACTGCAGTTTTCTGAGATAAAATCGGAGTGCATTGCCTGGTTGAAGCTACAATCGTGAACATTTTACAGATAAGAATAAAAAAAAACTTGTTTCTGCCGTGGTGGCCGAATGGTGACATTGTACTACAATCAGTTTTGTAACTAATTGTAATTACAAGATAGAACAACTTAATGTGCACTTTCTTATCGACAATAAAATTGCGACCTAATATCAAAGGCAGAGGACGTGGATTCTTCTGACAATAGCTTGTAAGGGTGAATAAAAACAAGAAAATGATCAAATAATATTTATTTTCTCCATCCTTAGATCCAACGAATTCATTAAAATACGTCCTGTGACATTACGTCCCACAGGCATTTCAAGCGCGTTTACTTACTCGCAACTTCGCACCAACAACTTGACGATACAAATCATAAAATATAGAATAGTTGACAATTTATTGGTACATACAAATAAAAATCTCCTTGTAAACTTATACACACATAATTAAATATGAGAAAATACATAAAACATTTTAGACGTTGCTTCTGATATTTTTTTAATCAGTTTGTTAATATTTATTTAACTAGTTAATCTTTTGTTATATCATTTGGATAACTAATGTACAAAAAAGATTTATGAATTATACTATTAAGTTTAGATATAACAGCATCGAAAGTGTGAGAAACAAACAGTACTAGGCAGTAAGTAACAACTGACCAGCTGGGAAGTTACTGTTTTCCTTCATTATTTATTTTGTGTGTTCAATGAACAATGATATATGCTTGAAGTACTTTAGGTCCAATTATTGAGCTTACAAACTTGTCTACCGTATTTCAAAACTCGTGTCACGACCAACAATTTCAATATTAGACTATGCCACATAAAAATTCATATACAAATCGTGTAAAAATTCATTATACATCATTAAATTCAACCAGAAATATACTTATTATGAAAGCTTTGTGTACTGTTTATCTTAAGCCTTTTCGTGTTATAAAGTGGTACTTATATCTAGAATATTTCTTTATTTGGTTATTTAGAACTGTGTGTACTTGAGATAACATACTGCTATAATCTATCTTATTGGCTATTGGCCTAAAAATTGGTGTTTGGAGTTTGTACCCGAGTGCGTTTAAAAATTCAGCACAATATGTACAGACATAACGTGCAAGCTGTCAACATAAGTACTATTTATATTACTAGAACCAATACTACACTATCGTCATACTACAAAACGCGGCGACAACTCGTCAGTTCTATAAAACAGTTGTCGAGAACTAAAACTGCTCTCGGCCGTTGTTCAATAAATATTTATTTCAATAAGACTGTATGTCCCAAATACTCGTGTAGCTACACTAAATAAATACACGTAACATTCTGGGTATAAAATTATAAATATATTAGACATTGTATTCATGTGTCCATTTAAACATTGAACTATTTTGAGCACAACATAGAGCACCCTGTCATTACAATTTGTATTTAAAATTAAAACTATAAAATGGCTTATTTAACACAAACGACCGACTATTGTTAACATACAATTTGACTAAGGAATCTTCTATCAACTACATAACATTAACTTGTTATAAAAATGTATAAAAGCTTTGCAAAAGTGGACTGAATGCACATACATATAAATGCAATAATTAAATGAGGCTCATAAGATTACTGAGATATCTTCTTGTAACTTACATATAATATAAAATTAAATTATAAGATTAATACTTATTTAACGAGTCAATCAATAGAAAACTCCTTGGTCTTTCAAGCATGCAAGCTTGCCCAGCTTCGGGCACCGTGCCAGCGATCCAAGCTTATGTCACTAAAACAATAATCTAATATTATTTATATATTTATTTCATTTATTAACACTCCGACAGTACGCGTTTCAATTCATTCTAAAAACGTTGAAAGAACATAATTTAGCTTGTTTTAATTTATCATATGTTAATTTATATTATGATCCAACAAGTGCCAACTACATAATGAAAATTTGTTTATGTATACCTACCTTGCTATTGCAATTTATATATTTTCCCAACAGACAAACAATTAATAGACATTTGATTTAAGTTATGTAGGATTTACAATAGCATTTGAAAACTAATCAATTCATTGAATTATTGGAAAGACAGGGGAAGACAACAAATTGAGGTAACAATATTAAAAGTTTTTCTAGGAAGAATTAACAGTCTAGAATTTTATCTTGGACCTGCATTGTTGTAACAGAACAAGACACTCGTTGACTATTCGCGTCTCATTATAAATTTTCTAAGAACATTATATAAAACTGTATTCCAATTAAAGTCTGTTATTACTTTTACTTTATTTCTTATGAATACATTTGCAATATAAAACAACAGTATGTTCCAAATCCGCATCGTGTTACATACAAACCTTTACGAAGCAAATTGCTTTAAACTTTAAGCATTAGTTTGTTTATTACTATCTGTTAGTTTCAATGTGTACTGACAGATATTATCCCTCTGTATAAAGGAAAATTATTAACAGGGATTGCGACTTATTGGTGAGATCAAGAGGCAAATAATATGAAAATGTTAATTGTAGTCACTAAAACATCAGAGTGAATTTACTACTAAAACTGTTATACACTAAATTGTGACGAGTACATTAACCTTTCAATCGTGGTTATTCGAAAAACAAAAAAAGAACAAGAGTGCGCGAACGCCAGCGTTCGGTTGAGGTTTGGTGAAGACATTGGATAAATATTTCTGTAAAATGGAAGTTAAGCAACCTCGATTTCAATGCTTTACCCGTATTTCTAACAATAATAATCTCTCAGTACAGATTGAAACTGCTCTGTCAATGGTCAGACTATCCTATGCTTAAAATGGTCTATAGTTGGCTGGGTACTTGATGGGCAAGGCGGATTGCGCCGCCTTGGCATAGAAATCCCAGCCTAGTTGCTGGTATGCTTCTATAAGTCTCTCCTCCACCTCCTTGGAGGGACGTTCCTCTTGTATCTTCATGAGCAGCTTAATGGCGCGGCCCCACTGCTTGAATGTGAAGCAGTGCCATACGCCGTAGTGAATCGCCTGAGAGGAACAATGTTATAGTCAATTAATATAGTTGATGTTATTATAAGGATAGATACTTAGCATCACATTTAGTATGCATTTTTAAGGGAGAACAGTAGTAATTCTACAAACAATTTGTTTTTTCTTTAAAAAAAAATGTAAACTATACAACTGAGGTAATTCTAAACTCCATTTTTATTTGTATTAATGAACAGACATAGGGAGAATGGATAGCGAGATCTTTAATATAATTGATTGTGTGATTCAATCATAATAAATTTTGATAAAAGTGATGTATTTACTAAGAAATTAATCTTTGGTAATGCAAGTCTATCCTAAAGGCAAAATATTAATTTCTCACATAGTAAATGAAACAAGGCACAGAGTAAAGTTTAAGGCAAAGATTAAGTGTCTGTTCCACGTGCATATTAGTCTACGATAATCATGTTTATGTGTGTAGTTAATACAAATTTGTCTGTGAGAAGCATGCTGTAACAGAGAATGTGGGAGAGCCAAGCTTCGGCACGAATGGGTTGGCTCGATCGGAGTCATGTCACAGCTTCACAGAAAATCGGCGTGGAATAACCATAACGTTATGTTTTGCTGTGTGAGTCCAGAGGCCCAATCCCTTTTCCTACCTCCATACCTTCGGAATTCTTAAATATCCGAAACCGTTATCCTTAAAAGGCCGGCAACGCACGCACGAGAGAATAGCAGACTCTTACTGACTAAATACCCCCCCCCCCCCCTTCGTACCTTCTCCTGCTCTGGGCCGAGGCTGTGGTGACTCATTGCGTTTAACCCGCAACCCCGGCTGAACATCAGCCCTGTAGGGCCCCGTCTGTGGTGGTCTAATGACTCTTTGAGGTGCACGCGGTAACCATTAGGTAACCAGTCGGCTCGTTTGGCGACCTATAGCATAAAAAAAATGGGCGTGTGTTACCTTGGTGTCGGCGAGGTCTGTGAACTTGAGCAGGTCGTGCATGTTGTTGAGCGCGGGTTCGGGCGCGGCGCGGGCCAGCGCGCGCAGGCGACACAGCGCCGTGCCGCGCCGCGACAGCGCCTCCACCACCCAGCCGCGCTGCTTCTCCTGCTCCCTGTACCGCCGACCGAATTATACAACTACCTATCCTACTTACTATAATCCCTCAGGCCACTACTAATTCTCAACAAATTAAAATCACCATAGCTTAACTTCTCAATATTGTTTTATTGTATTTTAACACTTGTGAATGTTTTGTAATGAGAATTTTTCAAACTTTTTCTACCGACAAGCGGAGTTTCGTATGCCTCAGGTTCAGGTCCAGCTACCCAACAAATCAAAAAACATTCGGTTTCGGTGATATTTTGATTTTTTTATAATATGTATTCTTCCAAACCGTAACAAACAGGTTTTTTATTCAAAATACACATAGAAGTGTACAAATAAACACAATCATGTAGACACTTTTATTGAGCTAAATCTTCAATTCGGCAACCTTTCTGCCTGACAACACGGCCGGTAAAATACATCCAAACACATAAAATCTCAGTAAAAATTTATTTGGACCTACACGAAACACCGCCTGACGACAGAAAAAGTATAAAAAAAACCCCGAAAACCCTGATTCTGTATCAAATCTATATACTTCGTTCTGTGTATCGAATTTTCAATTGATCACACAATATCAATATTGCTCTATAAATAGCTACAAAACCAACAGTAAAGTTATACGAATACAAAATGCAATAAACACTTTTGAAATAAGTCACAAAAAACTTACTGCTTAATCTTATGGGCATCACTTCTGGTATCATTCTTCATGCCGAGGTAAGCTAACAACTTGTCCTGGTCGATAGCCTTTATCACCTAAGAATAAAGCATAGAATTGATTGTATCATTTGTTGTTGGTAACACTTTTGTCGTTTATAAAATAAATGTAATCTACTATAAGTAGATATTATTACCTTGTCAGAAATAGAAATAAGCTGTTCACACCACGCTGTCGTAACATCGGGTTCTTCATTCGCATGAGGTAGTCTTAAAAACAAAATACAATTAATAATAATTAATTATCATTTTTATGAAAACTTTCGCCGAAAATTGTAAACAAAAATTTTGATTAGAATAATCATAAAATTTTAATGTTCTGTTACATATACACCTCTTAAATGTTTTAAGAGACTTGTACTTACTTTTTGGGATCAGTTGGGGAGTCAAGAGCGTTAAGATATGCGATATGCGCCCCCAAGTAACCTGGGAACTTTTCTACTAATTCTTCATAAACTTGATCTAACTTGTCGCCCTCTGTCAACAAAAATTATATTTTCATTAAGATAAAAATCAGATATATTTTCAGAAGAAAACTGAATTGATTTTATGATTTAAAGAAAGGCATTTTTAATATTGTTGACTTTTATGTATACACATATGAGTTGTAGTAAGTTGTAGGTGGTAAGGAGGTCTAGAATTTTTAGCTTAAAGTTTGGGAGAGTTAAGTTTTAGTTCGAATGGGTCGGCTCGATCGGAGTATCTATCGCTTTACAGTAAACCGGCGTGAAATAACTATAGCTTTGTGTTTCGACGTGTGATTAAGGTTACAGGTGATCCAATCCCTCCCCTCCACCATCCCTTCCTAATCCTTTTAACCCAAAACCTTCATTCCAGGCCGGCAACGTATTTGAAACTCCTTTGGTATTGCAGGTAATCTGTCAGGTAAGTAGTAGTTAGAGAAGTAGGTACCTAGTTTAGCGAGCCAGCCGGTGGTGAAGTCCTTGTAAGCGTCCATGTAGTCGTCGTGCTTGGGCTTGTCCTTGTCCTTGGCGGGTGCGGCGCGGCGCGGCGCGTCCAGCGGCAGCAGCAGCAGCGGGCGGCTGGCCGCGCGCCGCGCCGCCTCCTCGCGGGGGAACCACACGCTGCCCGACAGCACCAGACCCACCGACAGGCTCGACCTGCTCAGTCTACCCACCAGGAACTATCAGTCTTACTCATATTATACATGCGAAAGTTACGATGTTGGGATGTTTGTTACTCAATCACGCCAAAACAACTGGTCGGATCTGAATGAAATTTGGCACAGGCATAGAACAAACTCCGGTATAAGATATGGGCTACTTTTTATCAACATACTAAGCAAGCAAAACCGCGGGCGGAAGCTAATAAGCCATAAAAAAATTCAAAGGACATACTTCTACATTCAATATTTTGTCTTACACGTCTCTACTACATAATATTAATAATTTATCTGAAGAGAAATTCATCCATTATTTCTCCCGCCCCGCGGGTGTACGAAAGCAAAATTAAGAAAAAAGCAACGCGAAAATTATCGCCGACACAAAAACAATTTTGCTAAATATTAAATAAGATAGATCTTAGAATTAATCAATTATAGGAAAAGAAATTCTAATAGACTGTAAAAAAGATTATAAGATTAATAGACTCCTTTACTACATGATTAATCAACTTACTTGTCAGCAGGTATTGTTGTGAAATAAAGAGGTAGCAGGTTCCCATTCGCTAATGATCCTGAACTGTATTTTTTACCGCCTGTCAACGCCTGCAAACAAAAAAATTTATTTATCAAAATGAATCATCACAATCTATATACCTATAATCTCAATAATAAAATGCAGTATTAAATTTTTCTTTTACCTTAACATTCATATACTGTAAGAAATGACGTACCTATGTACAGACAGATACTTTGAGAATACATAAAATGTAATGTAATCGTAAGATGACCCAATCTAGGCTGGATACCTTGCAACTAGACCCATCTACGGAATCCCTACGCTCGGATATAAGAGAAATCATACGTGAAGAAATGCGTAATGCTTTGCAGGATACAATTGGCGAAATCAAAGTATCAATATCTGCTAACTTAAAAGAAATCAATGATCAAATATCAGCTTTCAAAGATTCTATGAATTTCCTAAGTGATGAATTTGACAAACTGAAACAGGATAACATTACATATCGAAATGAAATCAAGCAATTGAAGAAGGAGAATGAGATGTTACACTATGATTTGTCCGAGGTTAAGGGTAAATTCATTAATCTTGATCAATTATCAAGGGCGTCAAATATCGAAATACAGTGTGTCCCGGAATATAAATCGGAGAATGTTATTAATATCGTGAAGCAGATTGGCCGAACGGTGAGCGTGTCGATTAATGATAATGACATACATTATTGTGCAAGGATTGCGAAGTTGAATGCGGACAGTACCCGTCCACGGTCCATATTAACCAAGTTTAATTCGCCCCGTACCCGTGATTCATTCCTGTCTGCAGTCCTGACTTACAATAAAAAGAATGTTCAAGACAAATTAAACACTCATGACTTGGGATTTGGTTCAATGCAAAAGTCTCCTGTGTATGTTGTTGAAAACCTATCACCAGACAATAAAAACTTGCATGCTGCAACCCGTAAACGTGCAAAGGAACTAAAATACAAATTTGTGTGGGTGCGTGGAGGGCGCGTCTACGCGAGAAAGACTGAAACGAGTGACACAGTTTTTATCCGCAACCTCGATATTTTGCATAAACTCATCTGAGTCTTTATAATTAGATTACTTTGTTTAAACATGTATTTTTATATTTAAAACCTAACATTCATATGGTTCCATAGTTTATGTTATAACTACGTTGTAATGTGTCAATCGAGGCTATCAATAACCTCATATGTAGTCACTGCGTACAAATATAATAATACAACGATGTTATTTGTTAGAAGTAACATATTTTTTTCCGAACATTATATATCTCACCTTTCCTCTAGTTACATATTTAACACGCTAATGAGTTACGACACAAAGAAAAAAATGTTTGGCTTAATGTTAGATATAGTTTTTACCACATACCCACATTGTGTGTGTAATCTAAAGTATTGTAATCTTTTGAACCGAACTAAACTGTTTGTTTACCTATGCTTGAATGTTATACTGTTACGTGCTCCTATTATGGTGATTGTTGATATTTGTACCTCTCAAACTCATTTAACTTGTAAATGCACATTACGTTTAAGATATCGCCCTTATAACCGTTACCTTCCTTACTGCCAAGATACCCACTTCTATTATTTTATTTTAAACGATACTTGGACGATTAATGATGAATCATGGCAAACACACAATTAAGTTTTTACTACCAAAATGTCCGAGGCATGAGAACTAAGGTATTGGATTTGTATAACAGTATTTTACGCTCAAGGTATGACATCCTAATCTTTACGGAAACTTGGTTGCGTGATGACATTTTTGATGCTGAATTGTGCGATGCTAGATATCAGATATTCCGGCAAGACCGCGATCTTGAATCAACTGGTAAAAAGACCGGTGGTGGTATTATGTTGTGCGTCAACAGTAAATATTACACTAGACGGTATCGTGATTTTCAGTATACTGGTACAGAGTTCTTGCATGTTGCACTCTCATCTCAGAGCATTGGTACTCAGGAGGACTTGCATATCATAGTTGTTTATATACCCCCCGATATATCTAGTATCCCATTACACTTGAATAGCATTGGACAAGCAATAACGGACACATTGGCTTTAATTGGTAATCATAATTTTATTCTTATCGGTGATTTCAACCTACCCTGTTTGACATGGATAGATGAAGGCTTTTCTATATCAAGCAACTGTTCACTGCAAATGAGAACGGCTGCCGCGTCCCTTGCAGACGACCTTAACATTCTCGGTTTTTCACAATACAATCTTATCACAAATACTAATAACAGGATTTTAGATCTATGCTTTTCAACTGTACCCCTTACTGTAAGTAGATGCGATGATCCTTTGCTCCCAGAAGACTCCCATCATCCTGCTCTTGACATTATGACTACTGAATTATTTTTGTTTCCTCTAGAGGAAACTCACGTAATACGACGTAATTATTACAAAGGGGATTATAAAGAACTGAATAAATACTTTAACAAAATAGACTGGATTGATAAATTGAGTGTTAATTCGGTGGACGTTGCTATTAAATCGTTTTATAATGAAGTTAAACTTGGCGTGGACAGTTTCATTCCTTTAATTGATAAATCAAAAAGTCATAAATACCCTGTTTGGTACAGTCGTTCTCTGATAAAAATCATTCGTGAGAAAACTAAGGTTCATAAAAGATGGAAAAAATATGGTAACCCTAGGGACTACTACGAATTTACATTATTACGTTCCAGGCAACGCAATGTTGAAGCATCATCCTTTAAACACCACATAACTCAGACAGAGAAAGCGATCAGTTATTCTCCGAAAGCTTTCTGGGCTTATGTTAAAGGTAAAAGAGGCGGCAGTCAATATCCTAAAACAATGACCTTGAGTAACATGACATTGGAGACCGGTCCTGACATTTGTACAGCTTTTAACAATTACTTTCACAGTGTTTTCGTTAGCCCATCCACGCCTACTGCTGCAGCTACGAATACACTTAATGTAGTAAACGGCTCAGCAGATGTCATATGTAACCTCGATATCACCATTGACACTGTACTTAAGGCGTTGCGTGCGTTAGATATAACAAAGGGACCTGGGAACGATGGATTGCCTCCTATTTTTTTGCATAATTGCGCGGACAGTTTAGCACATCCTATAGCTTTATTATTCAGAAAGTCTCTGGCTGAGTGTTTCTGTCCCTCTTTGTGGAAAACAGCTCATATAGTGCCGGTACATAAAAAGGGGCCCAAGATGGACATAAAAAACTATCGGCCAATATCTATTCTTAATACTCTTAGTAAAGTTTTTGAGAAAATCGTTTATAATAGTATATATCCCATTATTTCGTACGGTTTAGGTCAGAATCAACACGGATTCGTTAGGAACCGGTCCACAACATCAAACTTAGCCACGTTCTGTAACTATGTCTTGCATAATATGGAAACCGGCGGTCAGGTTGACGTGATCTACACGGATTTTGAAAAAGCATTCGATCGTGTGGATCACGTCATCCTGCTGGCAAAGTTGCAAACACTTGGGATCCGTGGTGATTTGCTGAGATGGGTCAGGTCATATTTGTCGAACCGATCGCAGGCTGTAGTCATGGGAGGTTATAAATCTGACTTCGTGAATATCCCCTCCGGTGTTCCCCAGGGATCTCTACTCGGTCCTCTTTTTTACTGCGCATACCTGCATGACATCCAGTCCTGTTTTAAATACGCTAAACATTTAATGTACGCTGATGACATGAAAATATACATGTGTGTTAAATCTAGACTTGATTGTGAACTCATACAGCGTGATCTTGATGCATTGTACAGGTATTATCAACAAAACAATATCACTGTCAATGTATCCAAATGTCAATGCATTAGCTTTACCCGTTCCAAACACCCAATTATCTATCCTTATGGTTTTAATAGCAGTGCGGTCGAAAGGGTTGATGTGGTCAGAGATCTTGGTATAGTGTTAGATTCCAAACTGCTCTTTGACCAACACATCGACACCATCACTAATAAAGCCTCTCGTAACCTTGGTTTTGTAATGCGTACTTGTAAGCCTTTTAGGAACTGTCACAGTCTTAAGACCATTTACTTTGCATATGTGCGTAGTATTTTGGAATACTGTAGCCCAGTTTGGTCACCTCAGTACGATATTTATATTAGGAGAATCGAAAATCTACAGAAAAAGTTCATAAAATTTCTAAATTTTAAATCGCAAAGGCGTCATGACACCTATGCCCGTGACTGTAAGCACTATGATATGCTTCCCCTTGTGGATAGGCGTGTGATGTTGGATATGCTTTTGCTTTTTGATATCTTACGAGGTCGTTTGGACTGCAGTGATCTGCTATCATGTATAAATTTCTGTGCCCCAAAAACACGAACGAGGCATGCAAAATTATTCAGTATCCCTGGCTGCCGCACCAAATACGGAAGAAATGCAGTTATGACGCGTTTGCCTCGCAGCTACTCGGAGAGTTTTGAAAATGTCGATATCTTTCAGTTATCCAAACAGTCATACCGGAAGCAAGTCAAACAGATATTGTTTGATAAATTGTAGATTCGGAATCAGCTGTTACTTTACGAAAATCCGCGACATTAGGTGTTGTGGGGGATGTCTGGTTTTGATTCCGCGATAGAAGCTTGTTCGTTGGAGTTTTGTCGCGGGATTGGGACTGGTTCCTCATAGCACTTGATAGATATTATTTCGTTAAAAGGTTGTGCCATGATTCATTTTTCCTTTTTCTTTTTTTCAGTTTTCATCACATTTGTTGATTATAATGTTTTATCATCTAAAGCGCGTATGAAGGTAACCGTGTTCCCGTTTTTTCTTGGTTCATCAGTTTTTGCTGTTGTCCCAAAATCCTATAAACATATCACAATTTTGTTTTGCGAATGTGAACATAGTGTCAACATTCCTTTATTATAATTTTTTAGTAGCTGCATTTGTGTAAAATTTTCCCACTTCTAGTTGCATTTGTCCTTTGTAATGTCGTGAGACTCTGTTATTGGCTTAAGAGATAATTTTTGTCATCATTTTGCTATCACTGTTCAGTAAGTACTTTAAGCTGTTCATTGATAGTGAAGTGAACACTCAGAACTCATGTAAATTAATAATAAGCTGTTGAGTTTCCATATCAATAAATAAATAAATAAATAAATAAATAATTACATCATAATTGAGAAGACATTGTACCATGCATGTCTCTGGTATATGCTAGCACAGCGCGGGGTAACCCGTTACTCGGCTTACGTTGATCATAGCGTAATGCTTTCTAGCTTGTATCTCTGCTAGACGACGGCCGACAGGTCGGCCAGCTTGTCCAGCAGTACCCTGGTAGTGCGTAGAGAGCGGGAGTGGACTGACCTGCGCTTGCGAGCAGTAGACGTCGAGCGCGATGGGCGCGGGCAGGCGCTGCTGGATGACGGCCGGCAGGTCGGCCAGCTTGTCCAGCAGTACCCTGGTAGTGCGTAGAGAGCGGGAGTGGACTGACCTGCGCTTGCGAGCAGTAGACGTCGAGCGCGATGGGCGCGGGCAGGCGCTGCTGGATGACGGCCGGCAGGTCGGCCAGCTTGTCCAGCAGTACCCTGGTAGTGCGTAGAGAGCGGGAGTGGACTGACCTGCGCTTGCGAGCAGTAGACGTCGAGCGCGATGGGCGCGGGCAGGCGCTGCTGGATGACGGCCGGCAGGTCGGCCAGCTTGTCCAGCAGGGCTCGGTTCTCGTGACGGACGTTCAGTCGCAGCGTGTACTCGCCCTTCTCCAGCTTCACCGAGTACTGCAGGCATACAAATGTCACGGTGTTTAATCCCGCACGAACAACCATTATCGTGTTGTAGGGAAAATATAAAATAAAAGTCTCAATTTAAAAACAAGAACTTTTTTCAAATGGGGCAACACCAACAACGTGACAGTATTTTGGCTTATTCGTAGTAGATGCTTTGGCATATTTTGTTACAATGAATTCAATTTCGCTCGAAATTCGAATAAAAATTCACTTTTGAAATAGTGGTTCTGTAAAAGTCAAAATTCGTGAAATTTTCGAACAAAGTATTCATTCTTCTGAGACCGCTATTAAGATTTGGTTGCGAAATTAGAGTTGACATTCTGGGTACAAAATGTGCCAACACCAACAAGTTTTCGACCGGGTCGTTCAATAGTAAAACATCGCAACTAAAGATCTATATATATGTAAATTCCTAGACGTTCTGGACAATTGGGGTTATCCAAAAGCACCATAATTGGCATAAATGGCAAATTTTAGGTAAAGATTGGACCCTTTTATTCTTAAAGAATGGTGCTGGATTTATTGGTCATGGTCACTGGATCACGCTATCACGAAATGTTGTCGGACAATGCTGTCCGACGCTACCGGAGGATTAGCCTTCAACAGTTTTTGTCGGCAGTCAAATGCTTAAGGACAGAGTTTATTATACGGAGCCATTTGAATCTATTGCTGTCTGAAAAGTCATAATCCGTGATGTGTTTCAATGAAACAAATTTGTCATGAAACGTGCCGTTTTATGGTTTTATTTATACATCAAATAATCTGACTACTCTGAGAAGAAATGCCGTAATAGACCCGCCATTCTGCCAAAAAGGGTTAAAAATTAATTGACATCTATCAGCGTAGTTGTGATGGACATTTACATTCCTAATTCCCAACCCGTTCTTTTCGTAAGCCAATAAAAAATTGAGTCATTTTCGGCTAAATTCTTTGTTTGTTTTAGAAAACAAAGTACTTAGAAGAATATTCTTACCTTAGAAGGATAAGCATCGCCGGTGGCCATAAGCTGTTTACAACTATTGTACAACATCCACATTTGTGACTCGAACTCCGACTCATATAACATGTCACACAATAACGATATTATTGGTGATACCTGTAATAAATAGAATTTTGTTAAACTACATCTTATAGAATATTACTGAAAATTCAATGAGAAACATATTAAATACATATTATTACACGTCTTTTAAGGCTGCTAAGTAGTTTTTAACAGGATAATATACTTAACTTTTATTGAATTTTTGTATTACTTTTCTATATAAATATTTGTCTTACCTCTGTGGCCTTGGCGATATGGAAATTATAAGTATTGACTAGTTGATATATCTGTCGGCTGGGCGGTATTACATCACGAGCTGTTAACGGGACGATTTTCGATTCTGATGGTCTGTAATGAATAAATTACGTAAATTACGTTACGTTAATTACGTTACGTTACGTTATGTTATTACGAAAAAATAGTAGGTACATTTAACAGTTTGTAAAATTTAGCAATAAGAACTTTGAGAACGTTACAGTTAGTTACAAGTGGTAAACTATGAAATATGAAAGAATAAAAGAGGATGTCTAGTCTAGATTTGCGGAAAATGCATCGAATTACAATTGATCGAACACATTTTATCTAAAAAACCAATTCGCCGAACAACAATATGCCTAACGACAATTCGTCGAAAACAAGTCGTCGAAAACAATTCGTCGAACACATTTTATCGAAAAAACAATTGATCGAACAACAATGTATCGAATAACAATTGATCGAATAATATTTAGGTGGAATAACAATTGATCGAAGCCACGTCGTCGCCGTTACTTAAATGCTAAGTGCATCATTTCGCAGTTAGTTAATGTGACAAACGATTCGCCTAACTTCGTTCACCGAAATTAATGTTAAGTGTAGAAGAGCCAAGCTTCGGCACGAATGGGTCGGCTCGATCGGATTGATACCCCGGCCTCACAGAAAACCGGCGTGAAATAATCACAGCGTTGAGTTTCGCCGTGTGAGTAAGGTTACCGGAGGCCCAATCTTTCCCCTTCCCCAATCCCTTAATTTTCAATACCCTAATCCCTAAAAGGTCGGCAACGTACTTGTTACTCCTCCGGTCCTGCGGGTGACCATGGGCGGCGCTGATTGCTTACCATCAGGTTATCCGTTTGCTCATTTGCCGACCTATTACATAAAAAAATGCCAACAACTCAACACGAACTTAACTCACAATGTGAAGAATTCTATTCGACCAAATGTCATTCGACAAATTGTATTCCACCAAATGTCATTCGACGAATTTTATTCGATGAATTGTATTCGATCAAATGTCTTTCGAGGAATTGTTTTCGACCAATTGTCATTCGACGAATTGCCGTTCGAAAAATTGTCGTTCGGCGAAATTTTTTTCGATAAAATGTGTTCGATGAATTGTAATTCGATTAAATGTTATCGATTAATTTTCCGGTGACCCTGGTCTAACTGCATAGTCATTCATTGTGAGGTTTATGCAATCGGAATGTTACCGCGATTAGATTTATGATTGGTTGGGTAACTTGCAGCAAGCCAATCAAAGCGAGGAACGTTATAGATCGCGATAGGTATGTATGTAAGAAGCAAGTAAGAAGACGAGCAGTGGCGTGGTACCTGACGGCGGGCTCGGAGTACTTGAGCTGGGCGGCGGGCTGCAGGTCCTGGTGGCGCAGCGCGCGCAGCGTGACGGCGCGCAGCCCGTCGGCGGCGCCCAGCACGAGGCGCTGCCCGAAGTCGGCCGCCAGCCCGTGCAGCTCCACGCTGTACGACGCCGACACCTCGCCCAGGTTGGCCCAGTACTTCGCTATCACCACCTCCAGCGTCACGCCCCCCTGTAAGCACAAACGATGCACATAATGTCACACAATATCCATCCTAAGGTTTTCTGGAAGAAATCACCCTGTGTGACATTTTAATTTATTAACACCAACTCTTCACGAGTATCATTGAGGAGTCGACCTATTGCCCGACATAATTTCAGACTCCTACTATTTATTGAAGGCGCCCCAACACAAACATGCTGTAAGGAATCGAGCGCTTAAATCAACAATTTATCATCAGCAAAAATTACTATAATTATGTTATTGATTTAAAATAAAAGGGATAGTAAAAATAAGTATGGACCTAATATTAAGCCCTGTGGTACGCCCATAGATATGCTGGCCCCCCGTGAGTTCATTTGGTTTACTTGTACTTTAACTTGTCTTTCTTAGCCTTTGAAGGTAATAAAAAGTAATTAATCCTCAAATAGTGTAGTGTACTACCCTCTGCAGTAGTGTCTCGTTCACTCAACGCAGTCAAAAGCCTTTGAAAAATCACGAAATATTCCGATGGCATTCTGTGCTCTTTCTGCACGAAGGAAATACTAGTGGTGGGTAGTTAACGATTTTTAGGCAAACATAATTAGAAAAAAAAATAGTATTTGTGTTATCTATCGAATCAAAACCACCGCTATTAGCGCCGCCACTCACCCAGTATCGAATTGAGGTAGTATTCGGTATGTATTAATTCAATTATGTATGTACAAGAATTGCGACAAAGTTACTAGTTAACTTTGTCGCAATTCTTGTTTTAAAATCATAAGTAGGATTAGTGGAGTTCGAGGCTTTTTACCCATTCTTCAAATCTCTGTGCACGCCCCTGCATCTGTATTTCAAAAACAAATACTTACAACAACTTGGAAGTGTAACGAAGCGGGCGCTTCTGAGGTAACGTTGACCATTTTCTGTGTTTCATGACATCTGCAACTTCTCTTCGGCAATAACTGCATAGTGTGGATTAAGAATCTACCAGTCTTTTCTTTATCTTCTGTTGAGATCTTTAGGACGCCCCACGTTGCTTCAGGCGGGACTGTAAAAGAATTAAGAATTGTAATAATATCGTTCCAAATGCTGACACTGGTGAATAAAATATCTCCAAGTGGTGCGTAAAGGTTTTTGGTTCAATTAAAATACACAACTTTAGGTAAATTTAGGCAAACTTCAAGTGTTCATTCTATTTAGTTATTAGTTAGGCAGTATAGTGCCGTATAAAATGAAGCCAAGAAGTTACCAATAAGGAAGTGTCGCACGATGGTGGCGGGCTGGAACAGTACGTCCTGCGCTACAAGCGAGGCGGGCGCGGCGCCGCCCAGCTGGATGGGCTCGGGCTGCAGTACGGTGACGGGCACGCGGAACACCGGGCCCTTCGACACCGCGCTCACGTCGTACGCCAGGATACTGCAACCACACATTTCCATTATGTTACTTTGGGAACGACCGGAAGGATACTGGGGACTGCGTTGGCCAGGAAGCGGATCGTCGTGGCGGTGTCTCTGGACAACGCCGACGCATTCAATTCGGTGCATTTTAGAGGTACTCCAGCACCATCCTCCATCCATCCATCCATCCATCCAGGGAGACTGGTACCTGCCTATCTCAGTCATGTAGTCGATGAATACTTGACGGACAGTTCGGTCATCTCGACACGCTGGTGCTAGCTAGCGAACGGGTAGCATCAGACGGTAGCCGGCCTGATGAGACAAGCGGAAATTTAGGAATTGGAGAAGGGTAGGATTGGGCCTCCGGTACCCCCACTCACAGAGCAAAACACAGCATTGTGGTTGTTGCACGCCGGTTTTCTGCGAGGGCGTAATATCACTCCGATCGAGCCGACCCATGTTGTAAAAAGGTGAATTTGATACTGCAATATGCAATATTTTTTCAGTTTTTTTTTTAACACTTAAGTATGAAACGCACGCATCAACATTTTTCCTAAATAAATAACGGTGTATTCATATTTTACCTAGTAAAGTGTGGTCCAGGTTTAAGGCCCGTGGTATCGACGCGCACAGTCCAGGGCCGGGCCGCGTTCATCATGTCGAGGTACTGCGGACAGGAGACCCAAGCCGCGTCGCAGGTCAGGGCCAGGCGCATACCGAACGCGATCTGCTTCGGAATTACTGATATGTCTGCAACACACACACTATACATAGCTTTCCTTCTATCTGCTTCTAGAATACACGAGGAGTCATAAAGCTGCAGTAAGTAGTTCAGTCAATACAAATAGAGGTGATATTATGTTGTTACTATTTAGTTTTTTTTTGTTTTTGTGTTTTACGGTTGGCAGTTCTGTATTAGAAAATTTGAACGAGGCACATTTATGGTTTTACCTGTTGCTGTGTAATTATTTATTCTATGTTCATTTATTAAACTTAAAACTACGCTGCAGTTATTTTTTCATTGAATCACAGCAGTTTTCTTTTATAACGGATTAAGGTAGGAACGGGACGGTGAAGTAGTTTCATTAAGAAACTGCCCAACAGAAAAACCTTTTAACATTATCTCATTTTGACTTTTGTTACTTCATAAGTTCACTTAAAAGTTCTAAAAATCTTCGAGTTTAATGGATCTTTGGTTGCTTTTACTGATATTAATACTTAACATAGACAAGATCAATAGATTCAATATAAAAGTCAATATCTACATAAATAAACATCACAGACATACCATCACAGATATACTTCTTAAGAAAATCCTTGAGCAAAGGTATTTTCGGGCCTACGAATTGAAAATACGGGTCAAGACAACAACATATTGTCTGTACAAAACATATCTCCATATGTTCTAGGAAAAGTATAATGGACTTTAGTAGTACAGGTACCTATAAGTGTGAAGTTTATACTCACTCTCCATGTCGTTATGGTCTTGTAGGAACTGTGGTTCGACAGTAATGCCTATGTCTTTGGGTACGTCGTCGATACGTGGCCTCAGCAGTATTCCCTTCGCGTTACTGGGCCCGCATTGTATGCTGAATGTCACGTCCCGCTCCGGTGCAGACGAATATTCGCTCAACAGGTCGAAAGCCTAAATAGAACATTTTATAATACTTTTTGACCTCAACATATAATGCACATAAAATAGTCATATTTGAATTTTAACAATATTTTTCAAAGTCTAAAGGCCATAACTCCTTTGGTGTTTCGGTGGTCCACGGCCGGCGCCGATTGCTTACCATCAGGTAAACCATCAGCTCGTTTGCCGACCTATCTCATAAAAAAAACCTCGGCACAATAGATTGGACTTTAAAGAGATTAATTTAGGATATATTTTACCTTCTCAACATTGAGCAGCCCACAGCCTTGTGCCCAAGGCTCCACATGTGACAAATAATTGGCAGAGTTCTCCAACGAACGTTTGATGGAGTACGGCGAGTATGCGAGATTCTTTGCCTTCAGTCCAGATACCAGCATAGCTGGGGATAAAGATAATATTTGTATAAAATAATTGTAAGACTTAACAAGTTATAACAACACCTATAATTTTTATATATGGAATAACTTACCCACTGCACCCGCAACATGAGGTGCTGCCATCGATGTTCCATTCATTAACTGAGAATTCCTTAGAGTAAACCTGTAACAAATATCGAGGTTTTATAAAGCTTGCGGGTCTAAGGATGATTTCTTAATCAAACTTGGCGAGTTTATACATTACTTTGATGCTGTGGACCATGGTGAAAATAGTGTTCAATGGCATTAGGGTCACACCTCAGTAATGATGAACATGGTGGTGGACTCGAAGTGACTGTCTGAATATTGCAATTGCATTGAATGTAATGTATCGTAGTTACCTGGCGACTGCAGCGACGGCCCCGCCGGGCGCGCAGACGCTGACGCCGGCGGCGCCGTCGGCGGTGGGCCCGCGGGACGACCAGCTGAAGGCGCCGCCCGGCAGCCGCGCCCGCATCGAGTACGCCGCCGACATCATCTCCGGGGACACGTACGCGCCCACTCCTACAGCGGGAACAATATACACGATCATACTCGATACAGATGGACCGATTACATTACCATGTCAGGCGAAATAAGATTGGCTTCCCTAAAAGTCTCGACTAGATGTCATGGTATGAAAGTGCTTGATGATTATTACAAAGACACGTAAAGTAACTGGTGAAAGCGCGGGTCGTATGTATTGTATCACGAACTGAAATAAACATAATAAATGTTAGTAGTGGCAGATTGATTCAGTTTTTATATTTCGTTCATAGCCGACCATGATGCTTAAAAGGTTATGTAACTTGATCTGCTTCAGAGAATTAAAGGAAATAAAGTAAAAAGTTGGGCATACCAATGAGTATGGGCTGGGCAATATCTGGCGGGGCCCCGACGGTGCAGAGTGCGGGACCGTGGTTCCCAGCCGACACTACCCACGACACATTGTACCGGTTCACCACCTCACAAATTATGTCGCCGACACGACTGCGAACAAAGACCAATTAAAATACCCCACTGGAACTAAACACTATTTTAAGTCAAGAACGATATGTTCTTTACTTTAATAAGAGGACAATTGTAGCAAGCTAGATCGTAACATAGTTGCTACCAGTGACCTTAGTTAGTATATACCTCATATGGCTAAATTAATTAGAAACAAGTCAACAACTTCTACTATTTATAGGCTATATAGTTCCTTGCATGCAAGGCCAATTGCTACATGTTATAAGGCCACTCACCCAGAATTAGACCAATGAGCATGTTCTCCGTAGCTCATATTAATGACATCTATCTTCATCTTCTTGGACAGCTCCATAACCTTGATACAAGCCCGCACGAGTGCCGTGCCAGTTTCCATGGAGCCCAGTCGACTGTCTCCGATGGTGAGGGAGACAATCTTAGCACCAGGAGCCACGCCATTACGCTCGGGCTCATCGGGGAAGTAGCCTGATGCAATCGCGGCTACGTGTGTGCCGTGGGTAGCTGGAAGCCACATTTAATAAGATATTAAAATTGATTCATTGGTGCCAAGTTCTTTCTCTACTTTGTCAAGTGATAAATATTTGTACAATATTACATTAGACATCTGCTAATATTTATCAGTATCAGTATTTTATACAATATAGAATACAGAGTGTACATCGTATGTACATGGAAAACGAACCCAAAATGTAGAGCAGTAAAAAAAGAGAAAGAGATACAACAACAAGTATGTAGCAAGTATAGTTAGTATGAGAAATCTCTATCACAAAAATCAATACAAAACTTTTAGTTAGATAATCTAATACTGATAAAATACTTAAAATACTAATAAAAGCATTATATTGATAACATATAATCCATCACAAGTGGATAGCATTTTTCCTACTAAAACAGTACAAATCTGTATGGCACAGATTCAGAGGAAAACAGTAAAATACTCATGTACAAATAAGGCGTTGAAATGAATGTTTACTTACAGCACATGCCAACAACCTCAAGTGTCTGTCCCTCATCATGGACATTGATACTGATAGTCATCTCGTCAAATGGTGTAAGATGCGTGTGTTCATGGGTAACGCTGTACTCGCCCAGGAAGGGACCCGAGGCCAGGTCGCCGCATTCTGAAGTATCGATGCACGCTCTGTTGACAAAAATTTCGCAAGTTATGAAATGGGTATTTTTATATATGCTGGGCTACTGACACACGTGACATCGTTTATTTTCACATGCTTATTTATACATGTTTAACAAGGAATCTTGAAAAAAATCTTAAGAAAACCTAAAAAATCTTCAACCTAAAAACAACCCTAAAACTGAAATTTTGTATACATGTTTATTGTGACTCTAAATTAACAAAAATATCACAGAAATCGCATTTTTAAATTGAAAATAATGTTTCTTATGTTTTAAGGCTGCAATTAGCCACAGTACAAGTACAGAAATGGGATAGAAAAGATAAGGGATTTTGGCCTGACCATCGGAGCCTTAAGGAAAACTTTGTTTAACACTGAACTTTTGTAGAATTCATATGTGATTTGATTTTGCCGTTAGTTGATTGTGTAATATTTGTTTGTTTTTTAACATCATATAATATGTATAACCTACTACTTTTGCATGGTTTATCTACTGCTTGACTCCTAATAGTGGGAGTGTGATGTTTAAACCTAAAGTTATAGTTTAAACATCACGAATTTCTGGAGATTATTGCAGTCTTCAAGTTCATAATATTGAGTATGGATTGCAATTTGCATATTTTATTTCAATATTAAAGTTTAAAATACCAATTCAATTTGCAGTAAATATAAATTATGCAAGCAGATGACTGTCATTTACAAATTAATCTAATCATGAAGGATTAGCAGTAAACTATTGTTAAACTTGAAGCATAGTTTATTACCATGACATTTTGTGATTAAATGTGCAAGAACAAAGACTAATCAGTTATAAAATAATGTCTTCATTCAGAAACTCATTACTATTTGAATAAGTCTTCTATACAACACATATCTATTGAAGTGGACTAAATAACTGATACTATATCACATTCAATTTAAATTTTAGTTACCATGTAATTTTTAATGCTAATGTACTTTGATATAAATTAATGATAACAATAAAATTAGAAGAATACTTATTTTTAAACTTAATTGCTTTGTATTAAGATAATTTTTAAATCATTATACATATTCTGCTTTTATTAAAATTGTCTACATTTTATTTGTATCTGTTACCTGACACCATTATTTTGCTGCTCTGTAATTTATTGTACCTACTGGGAATCTTATTTGAAATGTCAGGGTATTTTTATTGTATTTTAAATTTTTGAACCAATAAACATATTGTATTGTAAAAAGGAATTTAAATGTGAAGTTTAAATGAAAAAAAAAACATACCTCCAAACATTTCCATCGTGGAACAGTACACAGTCATAGGTAGGGCCGACATCATTGTACTTCTTCTCTGCATTTTGCAACACCTCCACCCTAGCTTCCAATTCCTCCTTCTGAATTTTATCTTCTGGACTTAATATTGGATTTTTAGACACTAAAAACAAGAGATAATTAATTGATTTAACAATTTTATTCTTTTTAATAATTGATTTAATAATTTTATTCATTTAAACAGATTGTTTATGGCATAGGGCAGATAAAGAGTAGACTAAGCACTCATAATGGTGCCAGCCATGATTACCCACAACACCTAAGGATTTTGGGGTGCTTCACCAGGCTTTCAGTGATAGGGGATTTCCATGGAAGAGGATTTACAATCTCACTCCTTTGTGATGTGGACTTTCTATCCACTCCAATATAAACATTTGAAAATATAATATTTCATTTTAAAATAATTGAATTAGCCTTCATAAGAAACATGTACTGTGTACAGTAAATTATACTAACCAACATCATTTTCAAAATCTTGCAAATTTTTATTAGCTTCAGCAAAAGCTGGCTTGTAGCCAATGTCCCAGCTATGTTCCTTGCGATGCTCTTGCACACGCTCCTTCAACTTTGTAGGGTATATACTGAATGGGTGCAGAATACCCACTCTCCATGATCCTGATGGATTCTTCCATGTTTCTGGGATCTGTAACCATTATATCTTAATTAATAAGTTTACTTTGCCAGATTTCATTATTTGGTTTCTAGTTTTTATTGATCCCAAAATGTAATTAAAAATATTTATTAACATAAAAGTTTTAGTTACTAATTGAAGGAAAACAAAATTATTTGTCTGGCACCATGCCACTGAGATGAATCAACAAGTTCTTTGTTAGTGCTTTGTTATTTGACTGAAACATACATATCTAATTACTTTTAAAATAGCTGGTAGTAATATTAATGTAAGAATTGTAACCAGGGGAAAAATAAGCAAGCCATACAAGAAAAGCAAATAAATAAGTAAGCCATACAAGAAAAAATATTCCGGATATTCAGGATAATTATGTACCTATTACAATTCTTAAGAGTTTTAAACCCACAATAGACTGTCGTAAAGTGGATAGGATATAGATATATCAATACACTCATGGAGTAATACTTATATCAAGTTAAACATAAATTATTAGTTGTTTTTCATTCAATTTCGGGAGAGTTTACCTTTAGTTTGCGGCCCGTGAGACCGGTAATGCACCCATCGGTGACTTTTTTAATGACAGTACTGGTGTCCACATCGCCGCAGCCACTACAGTCATACCTCTCAATAACCTTCGTTTCACCCGTACTAGTTACCTGCAACCTCCGTAATAATTAATATTGACTCAAACTTCAACAAAACTGCAACTAAACAAATCGTGACATGACAGTTTTTACCGTGAGTCCAGCAGCCGCTGGATCGACGCCCGAATCAAAAATAGCAATAACAGTATCTCTTCCATCATAAATTGGATTTTTGGTGATAAATGATACAACTCCCGTTTCTTTTTTCGGCATTAATCCCCAAACGGGGAAATCACAGTCGATCGGTGCGTCTGCCATTTTTGATGACCCGATAACTAGTGTTACCAAAGGAAGAAAACCAGTTATTAAAACACAGTGTTTCCATAATAAAATATTGAATGTCTGGTTGACTACGACATTTATATTTCAAGAAGTCGTTGTTATAACTATATATTATTATAATCAACATTCAATCATTCAATAAGCAATCAGAGTGTAATTAGTAGGGTAGTAAGGGTAAAGACACAATGAGAGTCACTTTTGCGCTAAAAAAATACTATTGTAACTATAATCGATATAAATCTAGACAGTTGCCGTTGACTAAAAACACCATCAGGGATAACTAAGTCGGGTCTTTTTATTTCATTATTTAGAGTTCGACTCGATCAGATTACATCCATACTCAAATCCAAAGTGAAATAATATGGCGTTGTGCTTTAGGATTGTGGTGATGATCTTCAAATAATAACCCTCATCCAGTCATCCTCATATACTAAACCCCTAAAAGACCAGTAACGCATGTGTAACTATTCGATGTTGCGTTTATGCATGGGTGGTGTCGATTGCTTATCCACAGTTCCACTTGCCTACTGATCCCATTATAAAAACATTAGACAGTGTAACTAAATGTTTGGAAACATAATCATTTCTCTCATTTTTAGTTACCAAATCTTTCGTCTTCGATCAATAATAGTACAATTATTATCGAAGACCAAAAATAAATATCGATCACTGGGTCCTTGTCGAAAGCCACATGGTACATACAATACATACTGGTATATAACTTACAATAAGATACAGCCATAAAATAAAATAAATACCTATGTTGTCATAGGTGTCGTAAGAGTTTGACAGATACATAAAATTGTGACATAAAATATAATTAAGCAATAATTGACAACAATAAATAATGTGGTTCAACATTTTACCTGGAGCCGTAATTATTGCTGCATCTGTTGGATTACCAGGATACGGACTTTGGTGGTTACACTATTTGGTTTTAGGAAACGTTAGTAAAAATAATGTTATTTATTTCTAAAAAAAACATTACACAGTTGAGTTTTCATAACACTAGATTACTTTGTTGTACTATAATGAAAATGAATAAGCGAGTCTCAAAATGTTTAAATGGAAGCCAAGCCCAATGTTAAGGACGTTTAGACTAATGGGAATGTGACCTACGTCTAGCTTCTGCCAATGGCTTCGCCCGCAGTATTACGGTAAAAAGTAGGCTACCTATATATTATTTGGTAGTTTAGTTACGTGAAAGAGTTAAGAATCATTTATTCATCTAGTAGGACTAATATGATAAGTTTGTGATTATAAAAATATATTTTACTCGCCGACCGCAGACCCGCGCTTACGGTGGCCGGAGATCATCCCTTGATCCCCGACGCCCGTAGTGTCGCCTATCACGACGGCTGGGGCGTGGGCCGCCTCCCTCTTTGCGAGCATAACTGCCTCACAGAAGGAGGAGACGGCGTCCCAGTTCCTCTCACTCCGCACCATGGCCTCGACTAAGTCGGGGGCGAGTCAGTAACGGCGTACGAACTCATTTAATAAACTAAATTCTTAAAAAATTCTACACCTAAATTGTTGTCCCGGTGCACAATAAAAATAGATGTAAGGTATAGGTTTAAGAAAGTGCAAAAATACTTGGAATTTTTGATTGGAATATTTTGATCAAAATATCTCAATTAAAATTATAATGTTATTGCTTATATATTAAACTAGCGGCCCGCCCCCGCTTCTCACGGGTAGGTATAACTATCCTCGCTATCAAAGGGTCACTTTTTCCTTATCTTCACCTCTACTTTTCTAATATTTTCTTTGATGAGAACCTTCTCCTGACAATAACAAACACAATAAAAAAAGAATTAGTAAAATTGGTCCAAGTGTTGTTGAGTTATGCGCTTACCGACACATTTTGCGATCCATTTTTATATATAAAGATAAAGATAATATTTAAAAATTACCAACCTGTTCGATTAGATCCACTTTTCCCTTGGTCACACTCGGCTATCAGATTGGACGATTTTGGTACCGAATCTGGTAACACACAATTTACTGTCATTCTAATTACGAAATTGTTGCTACTTTGCTTAGTCCGATAATTTGTGAAAATGTGGTACGAAATTCTGCCGAGCGCTTTCATTATCACGGCAGCCTTAGGTTTGCCAGGATGGGGTCTATATCACATTCACAATTTAGTTTTAGGCAATGTAAGTACAATAAAAATGTTAGATAACCACTCTCAACATAGTATCTTGTCCTATACTTCCATAGATCATACAGAGTAGAATCACAAATATTTTGGTTTCACAGATAATAATATACTTACCGACCTTTAACATACTGTCAACATCATGCATAATTATACTCAATCCAGTAATAATTCTATAAAAACATTGTATGTCATGTTTACTGAATACTAATGTAAGAATAACAAAATACTGATCTTTTTTATCTTTAGGTGATTTCCACTTAGACGGGACAAATATAATGGTCTATACACATCTAAATATTAATAGTTTAATAAAATTATTACTGTTTTACAGCATTACAGGCGCACTCTTGACTCCAGGTGGGACCGCCACATTTACCAGAGGGATCTGAGACTTACTGGAAACCCTTACAAACTAACTGTAAGAAGCTTTATCGAATTCATGGTCTTTATCTTATCCGGTGAAAATAAAAATAAGCATATATTTGTTGCCATTTTTCTTGACACAATCTCCATTGACATAGATGTGGTTGAATTTTTCAATACCTGTTGTTTTATAACTATTCATTTAATTTTTGTAGTATGACTTACATAACTGTTGAATGAAATATCAGCTAGTTTTCAGCAATGCTAGGAGTTCATAAGCAGCAATATTTTTTTAATTTAGTTTACTTATTTATTTCACTTATTGTATTTTCAAGCTCCTCTTTTTAATTAAAATAGTAGATTATCTATAATACCTCTCATAATATTCATTATAGAGATGTAAAATTTGTAAGCTTGTATATAGGGGATAATCTATGAAACCGCTGGTTTGATTTCCAAAATTCTTTTACTGATATATAATGGTAATCTACAATGTTCCTGATTGCTATAGGCAATAAAATATCATGCAACGATCTTAAAGAGTTGTGCTGCCAGTGAAACTGTGAAAGAGTAGCTAATATAATTTAGTACAAAACATCCTCCAAATTTCATGACTGAGACTTGTCTTGTGGTTGTAGTCGTAACATTTTCTTCTCATTTTTCAGGGTCTGGAGACAATTGATGATTGATGAAGATATTCATTAGTGTTTGATTGAATTATGTTCTATATTAGATATTTTTGTTGGTAATAAACATACAATAATTTATTTTGGTGTTTGTGATAAACTGATTTTTATTATAATTTTTATTAGCTTTGACTTAATATACTGTAACAAAAATTAAAAATGAAATAAGAAATATCTACTGCAAATGTGGGTGTTGAACTTGGGATATAGGATTTGTTTCTCATATTAGGTAAATAGATTTTTCTTTATTTGCATATTATAGACTGTTGAAATGTCTGACATTTTTTCTGTTTCAAGACCATTGTTATAATCATATGATTTGCAGGATAACTGCATGGTTAGTGCAGTGGTTAGGCAATTGGCTTCTGTGCAATGTGTCGCAGGTTCGATTCCCGTGTGCAACAACTCTGTTCCATTAATTATTGGTCCAGATCTGTGTGTGAACTTGTTTACCTCTTTTTGACGCACTGACCCACAACTCACGATACAGGAGAAAATCCTAGTATTCATAGAAACGTAAAACCTAATTTTAACAGTAAATAAAAACGAAATTCATTATAGACCCCTTTTATCACATTATAATAAAATAAATGATGATGATGTATTGTTGTTATTGCTTGCATCTTCATCAGGAATTATAAAAGGCCTCTCTAAGCATATATTGTTGAAAAAGTGAAGAAATAATGTGGAGGTATTGGTTGTAAAATTTAAGTACCTAACAAGGAAATTACTTATATAGGTAATTACTCTCTGTTTCTCTCTAGTACTCTCTGTTTATTCAATGTGTAGTTTTTCTGATATCTACTAAAAAGTGTTGAACCTATTAGTTATCGATATTTTGTGAAAGAATAAAAAAGAAAATTTTCATTTCGATAAAAGAATTTTTTTTTATTGAATTATTTCGAATTGCGGAATCCAAAATGAACGTCACGTGATCAATCAATTGTCACAATTGACAATGACTATTGACGTTGACAATGACAATTGACAGGCAAGCAGGTGCTGTTTTGCGTTTGTTTACTGAATTTGTAATTTAGTACCTAAATTATTTAGCCATGCTTAAATAATAAACATGGATAAAGATACTTGTTTTATTGACATCACTGCAGAATTCTTGGGAGTTGCTTTTCACAGCATTCTGTACTACACATCAGTGTACCCTAAAAATATTTTTGAAATGCGTAAAAAGTACAATGTTGTTGTTTATCGTTCTATTCATCCTGAAGTGAATCAGTATATTGAGCTGTGCTTGAAGACTATCGTGGAATGTTTGAAGAATAACCAACTGGACTGCGTGGACTTTGTGGTAACTGACAGTGAATATAAGCCTTTATTAAAATTTGTCTTTCAGTTTGATAAGGACAACATGTTTGATGAGACTGTTGACGCTTATTTAGTGCAATGTGAGCAGAATTTGAGAGCCTTCTGCTTAAAATTATCTTCTATTAGCAATTGCTTAAAAGAACTTCCTGAAAATAGCAGCTTCTCCATATACATTCACACCAATGAGTCCAATGCAGTTGCAATGTCCACTAATCCAGAGTTTGAAGAGTTTCCATTAATTGAAGTAAAAGATATTTATGAAGACACAGACAAAATTATTCCCCTCAGCAGGTTTTCTGTTAGAAGCTATGCCATAGATACCTTTGTGGAACTGAGGTAGATTTGTAAGATTTGTATATATGTGTAGTCAAAGCCAAACATATGAGGGCATTCACTATACTCATAAGTCAAAGACACAACCGTGCCACATTGGCACAAACCAAAAATTACCATAAAGATAGCAGGATGGGATGGATATTTATTGCGGGAAGGCTGTGCGTTGGCATGAACATGATTGACTATAGCAGCATTACTTTTTTAATTATTTATGTCATCATTTATTTATGGTGATATGAAAGTTAGGTCGATGTTAATCGTAACCATAAAATACTGTAGATAGCAAATAATTGTTGAAATTTTTTTTTTAAATAAAAATAATTTTATTTTTATTCAAATTATTTTATTTAAGTACTCAAAAAACCATACCTATTTCATATTGTTTATTGTTCAACTCAAAGTAACATAATAGAGACTCAATAAATACCATCTTCATTCTTCAGCTTTACTCTCAAACATCTCAACCTGGAGTATATCTCATCCCAGTCCACATAAGCTCCTATCAGTTGCCTTACATTATTCTCACTGTCCTCATACGCGTTCCGACCATGCAGCAACCTAATATTGTTGAAGCACAGAATGTCACCGGCAGCAGTCTTGAACCGCGCTCCAAACTTCTGGTTCAAAGCCAAGAAATTAGCGTGTGCTTCATACCAAGGCTTTACTAACTCTATGGGCCCAGGGAACTGGCTACCCCTTTGTGGAATTGAAAAATTAATTCTAGTTACTTCGCCGTGGCGGTCCAAGCAGATGACTGGATCACGGTGTAGTTTGAAAAACTCGTTACCGTCTTCTATACCGACATCTCGCCACTCGATTTCCGTGTCAGTAAGGAGCTTGTATTGTTCTGGGTGATGCACTTTCATGTATTGCGCGACGTAATGGCAGTCGGACAATAAATTTTCTCCACCTTTACTAACTGTTTGAACTAAACAATGCAATAAATTCACTCCAGGACAATATTCATAGTACGGCAGGTCGGTGTGTAGCTGTAAATTACTAGACAAATAGGCCACATTGCTCGTATTTGGAACATTTCGTACAACAAACTTAACGCCGTAATGTGTCCTCTTAGTAAAACCGATTTTATTAACAACTGCATCTATAGCTGTCTCGGAGGCCGGTGTGTTCTGAATCAATGCCACTCCGTAAACAGATAACTGGTATAGCCAGTTGTACAGAGCTTCGTCCGAATTAAGTATCTCATTGTAATCATGTTTGGAAAATATTTTTGGAAAGTCTTCGTTATTCCATGTAATTTTTTTGGGTTTATAAATTGTGTCCGTATATTTATTTTGGTTTTCTGTAGTGAAACCTCTGAATTTAAGCCAGTTCAAATTATACTGCGATGTATGCCCGTCGTCCCAGGTGACTTGTAGAGAATTTTGGTCCTTAGAGATATCTTTCGGTTTCACATTTAGGTCAAAATTGTTCCAGTCAAGTATCCTACTCTTAGCTGACGTATGATAGCACTGTTCACACTGGCAGTTCTCTCTCAACCACACGTAAGGGAACTGTAGTGATTCACCACGAATATCTACATTGAGTAAGTCGTCTGTTTTATTTTTGAATAGCGCATTTAGAGTATGAATTGTTTTGATACACGCAGCGCTTGGCAACGTTTTTGTAAATTTTGTCGCACTCGTAACAAGTCTCAAGGCGAACATGTCGACGTGCTGCCTCGACCGAACGTAAACTAGACTGAGTTTGGACTGTGATAATAATATACCAATTATAATTCATGTATTCATTTATTTAAACGAACTGGGATGTTGCTTACACTGAGATATGATTCAAAACTATTGTGTTGATAAGGTGACTGCAGACAGCTATTTTGATAAGTGAACCAATTATTATTTAATTTGATGATGTAAGAGCAATTTAGTTTAATTTAAGAGCAACTTAGCTATACGTACGTTTGAAACTAAGAATCAAGGCGCAACGGGAGCGACAGTTTTGGGATGGCAATAGTGGGCCTACTTGACCGCAACAAAGATGATTTATAACACAATACCTAGATCCTACTTAGTGATTTGTCTACCCATCTACTGGCATACACATCGTGACTTAAAACTCATACAGGGTCATTTGTAAATGAACCTATCGGGAAGCTTATATTTAGATATCCTAAAAGGGAGAGCTCAATTAGGTATACCTATAGAGTTACACGCTAATAGCTAAAAATCTCAAAATTCATTGGCTTGCTCATCGAACCGCTCACCAGCATTAGAAGAATGCAATTCTTTGGCATCAACATAAAGTGGATCTCTAATCCGAATAATAATAACCTAACGCGAATAATTATTTAAACCTAAGTCCACACAAATCACAATCTCAGTCACAGTATAAGAAATGGAATTTCCGTAAAGCAGATTACAGTAAGTTATACAATTTAATTAATTTAATAGACTGGACGGATTTGTACTCCATTCGAGACCCGGATTTGGCTTTAAAATTCTACTATAACAAAATATATGAAGCCTTTAATAATAGTATTCCTCCAAAAAATAATAACCTTAGTAAACGAATTTATCCAGAATGGTATACCTTAGAACTTATCAAACTAATTAAATTAAAGTACAAGTTGCATAAAAATTATAAAATAACCAAATGTCCGAGTGATTATGAGGCATTCTCTCGCTGTCGGGCAAGGGTTAAAGTGGATACCGCGAGTTGTCACCTGAGGTATAAAGATCGAGTACAAAATAATCTAGCTAATGACCCTAAGTCATTCTGGAATTACGTAAGGTCAAACAAAAACGCTACTAGTCAGTACAAACTGATTAAAGAGGGACGAGTTTTATCAGGTGATGAATCTGCTAAGGAGTATGCACGATTCTTCCATTCTGTGTACAACGAGGCGGCGGGCACTCTGAGCGCGGACGCGGCGTGCGCGGGGGCGACGCCGAGCAGCGCGTACGCGCACCTTGCCGGCCTCGAGCGGGCGGACGTTCGGCGCGCGCTCACTTGTCTGCCGCCTAAGCGCTCAGTGGGCCCTGATGGAATTCCACCCTTCATCTTAAGGGATTGCCGCATAGTATTAACGGAACCTTTACAGCACATATTTAATATTTGCTTATCGGCAGCACATTTTCCGACTCCTTGGAAACTGACTCGGGTGGTACCTATACCAAAAGGTCGGGGTGGCACGGATGTCAGTGATTTCAGACCCATTGCGGTACTGTGTGCACCAGCCAAAGTATTTGAGATGGCTGTTCACAATAGCCTTTATGCGCAGGTTGGGGCTCATTTGTCTGACGCGCAGCACGGCTTCCGTCCTGGATGCAGTACAGCGGGGAACTTACTACACCTGATGACGCTGTTGGTACCGGCTGTTGACGCCGGGCTTCAGGTAGACGTAGCCTACCTTGACTTCAAGAAGGCGTTCGACACAGTCGACCACGACATACTCCTGTCGAAGCTGGCTGGTATGGGTTGCACATATCATACTGTAAAGTTCTTCGCCAGTTATCTTCGAGATAGGCGTCAGTATGTGGACTGTGGCGGTCACTTCTCGGAGCCCTACTACACCAGATCAGGCGTCAGTCAGGGTAGTAATCTAGGACCCTTATTATTTGTTATCATGGTTAATGATTTACCAACGGTGGTCAGGTCAACATGTCTCCTATTTGCTGATGACCTTAAGTTGTCAGCAGTAATTAAAGACACAGCTGATCGTGACATGCTGCAGCACGACTTGGATAAAGTCACTGAATGGAGTCACTGCAATAAACTGCATTTTAATATTTCAAAGTGCTCGGTGCTTTCATTCACCCGTACACGAAGCCAACAACACCACCAGTACACCACGAACGGGGAGCCGCTGCAGCGTGTCACGGAGGTAAAGGATTTAGGCATCCATTTCTCCAGCGACTTACAGTTTCGCAAACATGTCGTGTATGTTTGTAAGAAGGCGTACAGGAATCTGGGATTTATGCTGCGTCAGGCAAATGATTTCACGAATATCAGCGCATTAAGGGCTTTGTACGAGGCTCTTGTGAAGAGTCATCTGGAATACAATGCGGTCATCTGGAGTCCGAGTGAAATAAAATATAAAACAATGCTCGAGCGGATACAAAATAAATTCATCAGATTTATGTATTTAAAAATATATGGAATATATCCGGGATACCCGTTACTGTATCCCACCTTATTCTGTATCGGGATGGTGGGGTATTACAAATTAGAAGTCAGGCGTGAAGTGGCATCGGCAACTTATCTTCTGAAGGTATTGAGAGGTAGTATACGAAACTCTGGTATACTTTCAGAGATAGGTTTCTGTATGCCGGACGAGTACGTGACGCGGCGGCGCCGGCCCCCGCTGCTGGTGGTGCCGCGGGCGCGCACCAACCTGCTGGGGCGCGCGCCGCTCACTCGTGCGCTGCGCACGCTCAACACGGTGGCTAATATCATTGACATATTTAACTGTACACTGAGCGAGTTCACAAGGACCACTTACTGTGTAGTATGTAAGGGAATATAATGTGTAATTTAAAGTTAAATAAGTTTATAGGAACTAAGTTTATTATAGGTAGTTATGTTGTTTATTATAAGTTTAGGGTCAATAGTTTAAGAAACATATTTTAATTTTTAAGTTACTATGTCGAATTAGGTTAAGTTACCTGTAATGGCAAAGTAATAAGTAGAAATAAATAAATAAATAAATAAACACATTCGTTTAATTGTAAATCATTTACATTTACAAACCGGACCTAAATTGGCCTTCATTTTTATCTATGGGGGATCGACCTTTATGTCGCCAATTTAACTTAAGAGAAGATTAGGTACGTATGACTATCTAAATAATTGTATAATTACTATCTGCGTGCGTAATACATATCTCTTGGGACAAAGTCTTAGTTACAAGTAGGTATTGAAGAGATAAATGATAAGGTTGGGAGACTTTTTTGTCAGGAGAAAATCATCAAATGCCTTCTCTCGCCCAGGGTAAGGCGAGAGGGAGTGTCAGACTCTTACGTACTTAAAACCTCCCCGTTCCACAGCCAACAGCCACCACAGATGAGACCCAACTGAGGGTCTAGAGGGATGGAGCTATAAAAGTTGTATAGCTCTATCCCTCTTTCTCGCCCGAAAGATTCACACTTTAACACTTCATGGGCTGATGTTCAGCCGGGGTTGCGGGGCAAGCGCAATAAGATACCGCGGCCTCGGCCTGGAGCTGGTCAAGGAAGGGCGTGGTTTTCAATCGTGGTCTTATTCATATTCCTGTTTTAATGGTCTCATGCATTTATTTGTCCATGTTTATATTTTCCAGATTTTTCTTCTTGTGCGCCTATTGCGGCAACACAGTCGATATTAAGTATATAACTTTACTTTCCACTAGGTTTTAGGTATTAAAACAATTGTTTTATATTATATAAAAATATTTAATAAAATTCAAATACATTATCTAAAATCATAACATTTGATTCATGTCAACTTAAATTAATGAAACTGCTGCTTACTGTTTATCTTATTGTAGTCTAAGTGCATTGGAGACTTGGAGTGAGTATATGGTACAGTCTGCTTATAATAAGGCTATATATAGTCATGTTTGAGAAAGTAACAACTAAGGCAGATTGGGACCAAGGTGCCCAATCTCCTTCACATAGGAGGTATTTCTGAGTATGTCTAAACTGACCGATCTGTTTTGTAATGTTGCAAGTTTAAAATTTGACCAGATCAAAGATTAGAATGTCTAATAAGTTGCAACCCACGTAAAAGTTTGTGGGACAACACGGTGAAACATAAAAAAATAATGGAATTTTGATGTAAAATCAAAATTACAATGTAAAAATATAAATGTGTAAAATTATAAAATGACTTTGTAGCACGAAATATTTGTCTAAGATCATAAAAGCATTTGTATTATCTAATGTAAAATTTCGAGCGTGGTAACAATAAAACTATAATGTGACCATAACACATAAAGAATGACTTAGAGTAGAGTATATAGAAATCGAGCCTGTTAGTTTCAGTTGGTGCGTAATATTATAATAAATTAATCACTGTAAGTCTAAAAAAAACACTTAATTAACATTAAAATCAAATGAACCAATGCAATTTTGTAAAACTTAAAATATTAAATAATGCATTCAGAATCATTTAAAAAAAAAAATTAAAAATTATCATACAAATGAGTAACAGGCTTTTGGTAATAGTAATCGCAAAAATCGACTTTAACACTAAGCAATAAAGGTGTTATAGATAAAATGACTATATTAATGTTTGATCTGTACTTTGATTCTATGATAAGCGTTGCTAAGTACTCCTCTAATGTTCCAAATATCATTAAACCTCTCTGGTTGAGTGTTGAAATTGCTGTCCGTTGCCTTTGCCCATAACTCAAGCTGCAAATAAAATACGGAATTTTTAATTAAAAATAAAGACAACATATTATGTTATCCCCAAAAAATGTCAAAGTCAAATTCATTTCTTCCAACTAAACCATCAATTGGTACTTTTGAAACATCATAAAAGAATAGTAGTCTGTCAGTCTGTTCGTCGGTGAAGCTAGGGGCTTGTTCCAAATTGTAGATCCGAATAGAGAAGAACGAGCAAGGGACTCCATAAAGGAAATTATAGTTCATAAATAAATACATAATTGGTTTTACCTCTTTCTGTCCCTTACTGACAGGTATCCTGGCAGTCCACAACGTCCAGGCGTAGTGTTGTTGGGGAGGTGCATCATCTGACTGCATCTCCTCAGCCTGCACCCAGGTCTTGCCACAGTCTGGTGATATGTCCACTCGGAGGATCTTAGCGCCACCACCGGAGTATGCGTAGCCTTGTTGTTAAAAATATACGGTTAAATTGGTACTTGTAATGAGTTAGGATTTTTGTGGAAAAATCGAGAAAAGGGCGCCATTTACCTCTTTAAAATAAAATATTTTATTATAATTTTTTTAATTCATAAAGAGTGAGGATCTTCGCCGGTTTTAGGAAATATAAACATATCTGGCGGACAGTGTTGTACATTAGGAATTTGTATCCGTCATAAACTTTGATTGGCTGAGCAGAATAGGTTTTCGCGCCATCTATTGGCTTGAAGCTAACTCCGAATTATGATTATGCAAAAACAGATGGCGCCACATATTCAGTAGATCAAAACTGTTGAGGATCACTATCTTACCTCTGATTTCCACAACTCCATTCTTTGCGGTGACGGTGTCTCCGTGCGCGGGGTCGCAGATGGCGGAGGTGACGGGAAGGCTGTATATGGGCGGGGCGCTCGCAAAGTCTGCTGTCTCCCATGTTTTAGACGCGTTGAAGGAGCGATAGTCCTTCTGGTGCCAATGGGACGAGCTCTCGTCTTTTGATATTGTTATTGATTCTTTGGACAAAAAAATGGTATTCAGTTTCTAATAGAATTGACTAGGAATTTTTCAAGAGTTTTGGAATGCAGCTTGAATAGGCCAGCCATGAAGCGACATGATGTGTCAGCGTTTTATCTGGTAAATGAGAGTTTTGGATGACAAAACCTGTGATTAATTGAAGCATAATTTACTGACTTGGTTATCATAGGTACCTCTGGCGTTGGAAGTTTACTAAGGCTGTGTGTCATTAGGCAGGTTATAAGCTTCGTTGCTTATAATAAACTACCAGCCAAGGTAATTTTAAAAACTTCCCAAAAGTTCCTTACCGAGCCACTTGACGCTCCTGACGGCCGGAGCCCCGGGCACTATAACCCGCAGCGGGTACCCGTGGTCGGGCGGCAGTACCGCGCCGTTCATGTGTGTAGCGAGGAGTATGCGGTTCTTGGGGTTCAGGGCCTGTTCTAAGGGAATCGATGTCGAGAAGTTCACTCCTGTCGCGTCTATGTCTGATCCCGTGAACTGGAGACAAAATATTTTTATATATATATAATATTTTTTTTGATTTCTTTATCGATAGAGTCGTGTCCTTAAATTGCGTAGTAAAAGATTAACACAATGGACAATGGAATTGAAGAAAATCAACGGTCAACTTTGTTTTACCTTGAGAAGTTTAAAAATGTCGAAGTTTTTATAACAGTTAATATTTTACTTTTACATCCCTTTTAAGTGTTAAGGTAAGAGTGATGAAATTACGCTACGATCGGAAAAGGAGGATCCTACTTTTTTGACATCATCATTGAATGCTCTCAATTAGCAATGTGTGTTGCCACACCCTATAAGAAACTTCCTACTAAGAAAATGTTTAAAAAGAGATGTAGTAGAATACTGGGATAAAATATATACGTTACAATGACGTGTTTCCCGGCGGTGCTGGTGTCCTCCAGTCCGCAGGCCTTGAGTACATCAATGAGGAGCACGCCCTCCCACACCGCGTTACTGATGGCGCCGCCCTGCCAACTGATGCCCTTCACTGGCTTCACCTGCTTCGGATTCAAAATGAAATAGAACCTTAAGTTATTATCATAGCGGTTTATAATGGGATACATGCCATTATTATCGACTGATAGATTTTTAGCAAATAATCCAGAGTGAAGAATTCCGCTGAATGGTCTGACTAACTGGAATTTAGAGAAATTTTTATGGAGGTATATACTTATAGCGACTTGCTAATGTCGCGCGGTTACACGTGCTGCTCAGCTCCTACAAATCATAGCGTGATGTTTTATAGTCCAAGGCCTTCCTCGATAAATGTACTCAAACACAAAAATAATTATTCAATTCGAACCAGTAGTTTTGGAGATTAGCGCGTTCAAAGTAAGAAGCATCCAGTTTTTATAATATTATAACTACTAGCGGCCCACCCCTGCTTTGCACGGGTCCAACTATCTCGCTAACAATGAAAGGGTCCCTTTTCACCGATTTTTCCATCTACTTTTCTAATATTTTCTTTCATAAAAACCTTCTCCTGACAATAATAAATACAATGCAATCTGCTTGTGATCACGACCTGTGCAACCGGGTCGAAACATCAAGCCTACCAAGGTATTCAAATTATAATTTTCCGCGTTAATACCCGCGTAAATATAATGTTGTTAAGATGAAACGCGAAAGTTTAAAAGTTAGTATAATAATAAATACAAAACAAAAGGATTTGGTAAAATTGGTCCAGCCGTTTTTGAGTTATGCGCTTACCAACACATTTTGCGATTCATTTTTATATTATAAATAGATTAAGGAAATGTTCCGATTGGTTACACACTTCAACAAAGATTTGGGATACCAAGCAAAGTTGTAGAAGAAAATCAAATAGGTAGCTGACAATAAAATATTTCTCAAGGTCATTTTGTAAGTAAAAAGAGTACCTCATTCATCTCACTGCGTCGGTTACCGGCACACATGAGCGCGGCGCGCACGGCCGTCCGCGGGAACTGGTCCAGCTGCTGCAGGCTGAACTCGCGCGTCACTGTCTGCCCATTCTTAATGGTCACTCGTACGCGATGCTCAGACGAGTCCAACTCTGGAACAGGCATGTGTTGACGGACGTAAAATAATTCACTGCAAAGAAAAGAACACCGTAAGATACGAATAGGATATTGTGAAGCATTAGGTATCATTTAAAACATGGTTTATAAAGGCTAAAATTACAAAAGGTTGAAGTTATGCATGTAAAAGAAAGAAAGAAAAAAAAACCCATTTATTCGACAAATGGTCGTGCATAAGTACCTAACAAAGTCCAGGGAAATGGGAGCAGACACAATAATGCAGTAATTGGACGAAAGCGGGATGATTTTGGCACATGATGGTCAGTTTGGTAACATTTATAGAATAACTAGCTACTTTCGCGCGGTTTTAATGAAGAAACATTGAAGCTATCCATTAGTGAAAGAATTTTAGCAATCCAACCAGCGTTTCCAAAGATTACCACCTACATAGAAAATTACAAATAGATCTTTATAATATAAGTACCTATAGATATCCTTTTCACAACACCCTAGATGTTAATTTATGGGCAAATAATTAAATCAAAGCAAAAATACAAAACACACACAACATTTACCAACATACTTGGGCGTGTCGAAGTGTGCAACCTGCAGTTTGGCCGGTATCTCCGCGTTGAATGGCTTGCTGGTCTTCACTATCAGCCGCTTGTCCCTAATCGGTTCCTTCACCCAGAGCTCTTCGTCAGAAAGGTCTACCATGTCGTCTTCGTGGAGGTTACCTACGCATATAAAATGTATTACTAATAAATTTTAAACGTAGTGACAGCTATTGATTCATTTCATTTGGGGATTTGAGGTTTCCCATCTTTTTGCTGGTAATATTTTTTATTCACAATAACGTTGCCCCACGCTTGGTCTTTCTCCTGACATCCAAACTCGGAACAACAATGGATAACACAAAAAGTTATTCCGTGTGGGAATTGAAACCGCGACACATTGCACAGCAGCCAGTTGCCTAGCCGCACCAACCGTGCAGTCAAAGTATTTGTTTCGCTATCGCACCGAAAATGCACATTTTATCATGTTTCGTCACATTCGTTTGTACAAACATGGGTTGTTCAACTTATTTTGTGGCAATTTTCGCATTCACACACGCTTACCTATCCTATAAGATTCCAATAAGGCGTAGATCTCTTTCGTCTTGTGCATTCCGTAAACATTCCAGAACGGTTCGATGCTATAACCTCCCGCGTTCATGATCTGGTCCCCTCCAGGATGGGAGGGGAGGAAAGACGTCACATCGTACACGCCATTCTTGTATGTTACCCAGAAGCTTTTCCTGTGAACAAAATTCAAGAGCAAATGAATGAAAGGCGCCAGGTAGCTTTTCATTTTCTTACTTTCATATTTTGAACATGTTTGAAGTAAAATAATGGATCTACGAGGAAAATAGATTCTAGTCAACGAACACCCAGTTAGTTCGTTTTGATGGAATAAACGAGTTGTTGTATATGTTGTGTGTTGTGTATGTACCTGGTAAGCAATCGGAGCTGCCCACATATAGCCGCAAAACCAAAGGAGTGTTGCAAGTGCGTTGCCAACCTTTTTTTTTATGTAGTTGGTCGGCAAACGAGCAGACGGATTACTTGATGGTAAGCAATCAGCGCCGCCCATGGACACCCGCAACGGAGGAGTTACGAGTGCGTTGCCGACCTTTTAGGGATTAAGGATTTGGAGATTTAGGGATTGAGGAGGGATTGGGGGCGGGGAAGGTTTAGGCCTCCGGTAACCTCACTCACACGGCGAAACACAACGCTGTGGTTGTTTCACGCCGGTCTTCTGTGAGGCCGTGGTATCACTCCGGTCGAGCCGACCCATTCGTGGCGAAGCATGGCTCTCCCACACTTAAACCTTTTTGGGACCTTTTACCTTTTTTGGGATTTAGAGATTTGGGAGGGATTGGGTTTTCGATAACCTCACTTGCACGGTGAAACACATGTGCTCACACCGATCTTCGCGAGGCTGAGGTCAAGCAGGCGCATTCGTGGTAAAGCATAACTGTCACATACTATCCTGTTGTTATTTTTCTGCATATCAGCATCGAAGCCAATACCTATAGTGTTTATTTTCTAATTAAAATCGGCTATCAGCAAACAATTCAACGTTCGATAGATTAACAGCTAACTCTTCTCGCTTACTGATTTCCATGCTTATTGGACTACAACGAAATTACACTTTTATGAGGCTATATTGAGATGTTTTCTTATGGTTAATTAAAATTAAGGAACTGATATTAAGTATGGAGTTAATATTTATTCCGATGTTTAATGTGTATTTCGCCATGTATCTAAGTGGGGTTATCGGAAACCCAATCCCTTCTCTCTCCCATCCCTCTCAAATTTCTAAATTCCCAAAGCCCCCTAGTTCCAATCTGCCCCCCCCCCTCCATTTCCAATACCTAATCCTCAAATCCCTGATTCTTAAACGACATGCAAAGTAAATCTGGTGTGGGTGTCCATGGGCAGCTCCGATTGCTTATACTATCACAGAACGATTAGACTCGACTGCTTTTTAGCCGTATTTATCGCAAATAATAGTAGTTTTTTATGATATAGTAAATATTTAAATATGCAGGTACTGAGTTTAAATATTTTTTGGCAACATTCGAGTTGGACACAGGTAATTTATTTATGAAGGTTATCTTAAGTAGTTATTGTGAATGATAAAGTCATTTCTTTAGGAGTGTGCCTTTGAAATGATTAAATTATCGAAAGGAAGATAGCACAAATCATGTTATCCGTATTTTATTGAAGGACTAGCTACTTTCACGTGGTTTCACCCGCTGCTCGGCCACATTTGATCGTAGCGTGATGTTTTATAGCCTATAGCACTCAGAAACATTGTAGCTATCTGTCAATAAAAGAATTTTGGCAATCTGACTAGCGGTTCCAAAGATTACCCCCTACATACAAATTTACAGATTTTACCTCTTCATAATATTAGTATAGATTTGTATTTAACAAAACTCCTAGACCTACATTTTTCCCAAGCGACAATAAATAATAGTAAATTGCCGTATAAAAATATGGCAGTTTATGTTTGCCTGTATTATACCTATTAGTTTTCGTTGACGACACATGATTAAATATTTTGTCACGCTTTAGTAATATCTACGTCATATTACAAACATATTATTTGTTGTTATTTCGTTATCAGCTAATAAGTAACGATCACAGAGTGCGTCAGTAGTTCACTGTTTATCACTAACAGTTTCAATTGGGACACAGAATAAAATATTTGTGAGAAGCGCCTTTACCAAACATACAACGGCGTTTGTTACAATCACATCTTAGAAACTACTGAACCGGGTTTGATAAATTTTCATGCATTAATTTGCATAGTTATAGTTGAAAATGTGGTCTAACACCAACTTATTAGCTAGGTACTGATTGTTAATAAAAGTGGAGAAATATAGATATAGGCACTAAAATGATACAGTTGAAGAGTTTGTTTGTTTGAATGCGCTAATCTCCGGAACTAGTGTTTGTAAGTTCATTTATCGAGGCAGCCTATAGGCTATAAAACGTCACGCTATGATCTGTAAGAGCCGAGCAGCAGGTTAAACTGCGTGAGAGTACCTAGCTAGTTACTCATATTAAGTAAATGTATAATATACAATGCTATAATAACTTCATAATAGAGTTAATAAATAAATAAAGGAATGTTATAGTAGAAACTTAGGCTGGCAGTGGTTGGATGAGAAGAGCTGAACATCGAGCTCAGTGGCGTGCAATTGGGGAGGCCTATGTCCAGCAGTGGACGACAACAGGCTGATGATGATGATGATGATGATGATGATAGTAGAAACTTTACAGCAATAGCCATTGGTTGTCCACACAATACCGTATCCATGGCAACCGCTACTGTGTTACGTGCGGTTTTGTAATGTCTCCATAACACAGCAGTAACAAAACATAATGCTGTTATTTAAACGGAGAGGTTGTTAACCTAAGACAAAACACTATATTACTCAACTTACAAGTTCATTCGAAGTATACATACTTACATACATATAGGTACTGCAGATTTATACACTCGGACCGCATATAAAATAACTTCCATGGTAGATTAAGATGTTTAAATATAAGAAAGTTTATATAATTTTATTTTATATTTAGTATGTAAGGTTTTTTTGTATTGTTTATGATTCTATGTATTTCTTTATAATGTTACTGCACTATTGTATTAGGAAACTAGTGTGATAATAGTTGTATGTTGGTAATTAATAAATAAATAAATTTTGTAAGTTAAGTTTGTTGCTATTTTTTAAACATTATCGAATAAGTCACGTGTAAGTTAAACTCCGTTATTAATTATATCACCAACCTAGACTTTTCCTAAGCACTACACATTAATACCTATGTATGATTAACCAGCTTCCGCCCGCGTGGTATGTTAATAAAAAGTCGCCTATGTCCTTTCCGGAGTGTATCCTTTGCCTGTGCCAAATTTAAATGGTCAGTTGTAGCAACGATGTAATATTGTAAGTTTTTATGGCATAGGACTATAAACAAACTGACGGATCACCTGATGGTAAGAATTCGGCGCTGCGTGTGGACACCCTCAACACTAGAGGAATTACAAGTGCGTTGTCGGCCTTTTGAGGGTGAATTGAGGGGTCCCCAGGATAGGGGATATGGGGACATTTTTTTTTTGAGGTTAAAATCATCTAATGACTTCTCCCGCCCAGGGCCGGGCGGGAGGGAGTGTCAGACTCTTACTGACTAAAAACCCCCTGTTCCTTCTCCTGCTCTGGGCCGAGGTCGCGGTGCCTCATTGCGCTTACCCCGCAGCCCCGGCTGAACATCAGCCCGATAGGGCCCCGTCTGTGGTGGTCTATCTATTGGCTCTTTGAGGCGCGCGTGGATTTGGGGACATTTGGGATAACTAAACACGATGCAAGCGTTGTTGCACGTCGGTTTTTTGTAAGGCCGAGTTAGGTATTACTCCGGCCGAGTCGGCCCATTCGTCAAGCATAGCTCCCCACACTTTACGTTACATTTGCATAATTAAACTTCTCTCTCCCTTTGGTTTCTGAATAAGTGTTATCAAAATAAAAAAAAATGAATAATTCCATTAATATTTTGACAAGGAAATCTACCGTGTTTGGTATACACAGTAATATCTGTTTGACAAGCGTCTTATCAACTTAAGATTGGAGATAGTTGCCGCACGGGAGCCGATAACACTGTAGTTATGTACGATCCTTATCAACGTATTACTATGTAGATCTTGTCGAAACATCTTATTACGTACACGTTATCTATTGAAACTTTTTAATGATACGTTTTTTGACCTTCCCAATCGTCAGCCGGGGTTCCGTAAGAGTCTGACACTCCCTCAGAGAAGGCATTTGGTGTTTTTCTCCCCTAAAAACCTCTAAAACGACCTCGGTTCATATATTACTCCGGGACCGCGGTACATTATTACGAGTGCTCTACTACTGAGCTATATTCCTCTTATCCAATTATAAGTACTAGGATAGATACTACTACTATACTAGACGCTAGGATAACCCGGCACTACCCTTCCCTCATATACGCCGCATGCATGTTTTTTTAGTAAGCTGTTAAATATTGTGCCGAACATTATAGTACCTATTTATTTTTTGAGGCATAAAAATCATCAATTCTCTTCTCTCGCCTAGGGTAGGGCGCGTGTGAGTGTTAAACTGTTACTTAAATAAAAACCACTCCGTTTTTCTTTCTGCACCTTCTACATTTTTGCTCTTGCTTAAGGATTACCCAACCCAACCATTTAAGAACCCAACTATGCTTAAGGACTAAACAACGCTCTTTGGTATTATAACTTTCGTGAGACATTCTAAATTAATTATTATGTTTTCGGCTTACTCACGTCATATATGTATCGTATCTCGTCATATACTTATGTGTAGTATCTCGTCAAATTATTAGGTACGTGAGTAAGCCGAAAACATAATAATTAACGCTTTTTGACTGTACATGGTAATTTTAATTTAATGATTAATTAAAAACAAACGATTCAGTCAACATTTTACAATACATTGTTACATTTAGTAGGGCAACTTTCGCTTCTAATGGCTTTATCACACTTGCCAGTTTAGTCACAAGACTATAAAATTATTTTATATCGACAAACAAGCAAATTTAATTGCTTTTTTATCACCTTGGTAACACTAACAGGTATAATGAAAGTCCTGCATGAGGTGTTCCTACCTACATTGTATTTATGAAGGTACATTACAATTTCCTTCAGGTGCGTGCTAGTATGTTACTACCATCGAAGATATAAATCTTGATAAAAAATTAACATTGACACAATCTTTATTGATTCGATTGATTATCAAAAGTTAGTGTATCAGTCTGAGTAATTATTTTATATATGATACCTAGTAAGTTTGACCTGTATTACTACTTAGAAATACTGTTGTTACTACTAAAGGAACTACGACTTTCGAACATAGGTATTGCTTGTCACAAAATTAGGTGTTTATTTACCTATCGGTCAGAAAAAAAATATAAGCCTTCCCGCTCATTAGTGTCAGAATCTTACCGACTAAAAACCTCCCTGTTCCTTCTCCTACTGTGGGCCAAGGTCTTTTTAGCTGAATCTCTTTCTTGTTAAAATACCTATACATAAGCATATGATTTGTTAATATGTAGAACAGAATTGATAAACTGATGACGAATAATTAATTATGTTATCCCTAGCTGTTTACAAGGCTGACTTATATTGTGTATCTAATTATATTGTATTTATTTTAAGAACATTTTATTAGGTCAGAAACAACCTACTCATATAATATTATTTATTTCAATAGCTATAACAATATTACAATATACATGAATGATTTTATAATACTAATATATTACCAAGCCATACTTTAATAAATTTTAAACTCTATTCCAAAATAATATGGCATTTATTATATTGACTCAAAATATAAATAGAATATCTCAGCTTGGATTGAATGTGTTCCAGTTGAGTCCTGCAGATACAAAATTCTAAAAAGAAACTTACTTTGAGTTATGCTTGCTGATTTCTTCTGCCCTGTATGTAGGGAGGTCCGGCCTCTTTTCTCCTGCTCCACATGTATTCTCTTCATTGTTTTCCTTTAATACTTTTTTATTGTTTTTCGATTTTTCTGAAATAAAGGACTATTATATTAAAATAATTTAAACAAAGGTAAATATTTGTGACCAAATTAGTCTGTTAGTATTTTATTTAGACAAAATTCCTTTATAACTAATTATAGAGGTTGATTGTGGAAACCAGGGTACAAAATGGATACGTACCTACCTCTGACTATTGAATCAAGGAATTTAATGATTAGTATAATTAATTTACAATCATTGATATAAGGTAGTTTATTTCAGATAAACAATTAAAACTTATTTCTCCTTATTTCCCTATCAGTGAGATAAGAAATGGTTAATGCAATAAGGTTTTAATATTACCTGCTAATACAGTTCCAATTAGCACAGAGCTAAACAAAGCTGTAGCAACTGTTTTCTTATATTTACTATTTTGATCTCTATGATTATATTGTTCCTGGTTGATCTTCACAGCTGTTGCAGCCAAGTTAATATATTTGTTCTTTTGGTTGATTGTTCTGGAAATAAATAATTTGTTTACTTATAATGTATTTTAAATGGAATATGACGGTATTGTTCCAAATTTGATTTATAAAATAAAATAAAGTAAGTATTAAAAATGAGATACTAGGGGTGGTTAAATCTTTAGAGAACTGCTACTTTTTCTTTAGTTTATCACATTTGCTTATAGATCAAATTAGTAAGATTTAGATCATTATTTATTTATTTATTTATAAAAATATCTATCTTTTATTCTACCCAACTTTATGACAAAATATCACAGATTATAATAAAAAACAATAACTTTTATAAAACAAATCATGAACACACATATTTTAGTTTAATTACTATTTAATTGCATACAATTTCCACTGACTTACCTTAGCAATATATTTTTAAGCGACATTTTGACTATTCTTTTAAAAGCTGCTAACTCTTACTGTACCTATTTATTACATGATAAACTGGTAAAAGTTAAAACAACACCATGCGACCTTGGACAGTTATTGGCTTGAAGCGACCTTTTATCATTTATTCTATTTATCGCAATTTAATCATGAACCCGTGCAATATTACGAAGTCCAAATACGTACTATGAACAAACGGGTAACTCGTAAAGCGTAACTCGACCGACAACATTTGATAAGTATGCTTTACGACTGCGTCAATTTTCCCGCAATGACAATATTGACAACACCACAATCAACTGTCATGGATGACAGCTATCAGCTGACTAACCAGCTGATTACTAGCAAAACCAAAACGTTACAGGAAACTTTACTTCTTTTTTTTATTTACACAAGTCAATATCTTTCTAACTAAACGTATACTTGTAAAGATATTGAGTTGTGTGCCCCGAAACCTTCTCATAACTCATAATTAATGTAATAAAATTATTAATAAAAATTAATTATTAATTAATTTAACAGTTTAAAACAATAACTACAAGCTAATTATTTAAAATTATAAGTTTAACTTAGGTATAACAATAACGTCATAATTCATGTTTTACCATCAAAGCTTATTTAAATAGACGGTAACGGATGATGTATTCGACAGTTAACTGTTTAGTTGAAAGTGTTTAGTTAATTGCTGCCTAATGAATTCATTAAAACTATGACAGCTGATTGTATTGTTTAATGTATCATGACATTTTCATTGAGATAATAAAAAAAGTTTAGAGAATTAAAATTAAAATTGAGATTAAATAAAAAAAGTTTAGAGATATCTTGCAAGAATCAACGATTCACGATAGTTAGCAACTAGCCTCTGCGTTAACCGTGCAGTGAGACATGAGGACATAGGTACATATTACCAAATTTTTGTATGGCTTATGGCGGCAAACTGGCACAGTTCGCACCTGACGCAATAAGCAATTAGCATCCATAGACAATCACAGCACTGAAATTACCAGTGCGTTTTTTATGTCATAGGTCGAATAAAAGCCCCCCTTTTCCTTCTCCTGCTCTGTGCCGAGGTCGCGGTACCTCATTGCGCTTACCCCGCAACCCCGGCTGAACATCAGCCCTTTAGGGCCCCGTCTGTGGTGGTCGAATGGCTCTTTGAGGCGCGCGCGGAACGCTACGCGCCGTACGCTCGGGAAACGAGCACATGGAGTACTTGATGGTAAGCAATCGACACTCGTAGTACTAAAGGAGTTACTACAAGTGCGTTGCGGGTCTATTGGGGGTTATTAGGGATTTAAGGATAGGGGATTTGAGCATTGAGGATGGGGAAGGGGGTAAGAATTGGGACTCCGGTCATACGGAAAACCACCACGCCAAAGTTATTTCACGGCGTATTCTATGTCGTGCTGGAGAATGGCTCGTCGAAAGAGTTTCCTATGCGTATCTAATATCCCAAATACTAGCCGCTTGTGACCACTATAACCTCATTACCTAAATACATATTTTATATTTTTTAGTTACCTACTAGGTAGCCTAATACGTAAGAAATATGTATAAAAAGTGCCACGTTTGTGTGTCGTTAACCTCTTTCTGATGTTCTAATGAGATTTTAAAGACTTTATGCATTAGTTATGCTAGTTTTGCACGTAAGAACCTCTTTTTATGTTTTTTTTTCTTCTATTTAATATTCATAGGTTTGTACTGAATGTAAGATTGTTTCTTGTGTGCCATTCCAAAAATAAACTTAATTTTAAATTTACGCGCGAGTTGATATTGATCTTGAAGAGTTTTAATTTTTGTTTCAGTTATTTATGTAAGTATTAGTATATTAATTTTGTAGTAAGTATTGTATATTTTTGGTTTATTAAAAATTTAGAACGATGTTACAGTTACAGATTGTTACAGACAATTTCGTTTTGTTTATTTTAATAATTCAGATTTTATGTGAAGGTAAATAAATAAATACTTTTCCCCCTGGCGGGGGTGCTCAAGGCTCTTGTCCTGCAACCTGGGCTGGCCTGTTGGATTCCAAATGTGGTGTCTTGTTGGCTCTTTGAGATGAACACTGAACGCTACGCGCTGTAGGTACGCTCGGGTCTGGACCTGGTCGAGCTAACCTTGCTCGTCTACAGACCCACTCTTACCGTGGCTGGAGATCAACGTATAGTGTACCTAAGTAAGTTATTAATATTAGAGATAAGGGAGTAGGTACTTAGGTATGCAATTATCCATAGTAGGTAAATACATCAATCTCATTAAACTTCAAGGAGGTAAACGGTCCTACTACTCATCGACATTTTAAGTACATAAGACGTCCATACTACTAAACTAAATTACTTTAATTTAATTACTACATACTAAATGTAAAAACTTTTTTTTACTAGTTAACCAGTTGTAGGAGCTTGGTGTGATTTGTGAGTAGGTGGTTTAGTAGAGGGAGCTTAGAGGGTGAGACAATTTTTCGTATATCAAAATCCCTCCTTGTAATAAGTATGTAGGTCGATATTTGTCTTAAATGGAAACTTGACCAACAACATGTATATTAATTAAGATCACAACACATATTAATAAAACAAATAGATTTATTTATACCTACGTTCTTATAGACTTCTTCAACTCGATCAGATATTTTTTAAGCCCTCGATGGCAAACAGGCTATAGGCTAGAAGGTAGTTTGTCAATAAAATTCTTTCATTATTACATTCCGTCGCGCGCAGCAGTGTTTTATTGCGCTCCTTACGGCTAATAGCCTCTCGAACTACAAGTGGAATAAAGTTTACCTATGTCTCTCCAGTCCCCATTCGGTAACGTACCCAGTAACAACACTAGAAAACAATATTGCTATGTTGTTTGTGCCCCAGAAGTCTCTGTTTATTTGTTTGTTTTGTTTTGTTTTGATGTGATTACTTTTTAGAATGTATTCCTGTTCTGATAGAATTGCAAGGTCGACTAGTGTTCTCGGATCCCGTTTCTGCAACAAGCAAAATACCTACGGTTTTAAGTCTTTGAATTCCCTTTTACATAGCATTCGTAATATAATGGACAGTGTTTGTTTTAAAGATCAAAGAGATCAAATGATAATAATTGGCGAAAAGTGGATTTAGGTAGAGATTTAGTTAAAGACCTGACAACGGTGAGAAAATGGCACTTATTTTTTTTAAAGTTGAGAGTCCAAAATTGTGATCCATTGTAAGATACTAATTATCACAGTTTTAATTCACAATTCGTGAAGTCGTGGTGGCCCGGAGGTTAAGGAGCCCGCTTCTCATGCATGAGGGTGTGGGTCCGAAACCTGGGAAAGTACCAATGTGACTTTTTCCGAGTTATATGTACTTTCTATGATTATTTAAACACCACTGATGAAGGTAAACATCGTGAGGAGAAACATGGACTTATAATTTCTAATTATAAGTTTGAAATCGCCAACCCGCATTGAGCAAGCGGCGTGATCAATGCTCTAACCTTCTCCGTATGAGAAGAGGCCTTTGCTCAGCAGTGGGCACTTATAGGCTGATGATGATGATGAATTCACAATTCATTTAGAATGCAGTAGGTAACCATCCGACCACCAGCAATTTTATTGTGTGTATGTATACTATGTATGTGTGTGTATGTGTACTACTTATATTTACTAGGAGAATGGGTCCCATGAATTTTTGTCAAAAAATATTTCATACAGCAAATTTTTATTTTTACGACCTCTAATTCTTATTTTATGGCCGACATTGCGGCCCTAATGGTTTTACCTTCTGATTTTTTTTTCTCAACAAAATAATCGTTCAGTTTTATGTTGCCCAGCTATCGTGTTGAATAGAAAACTATTATTGAGTTTTTAATAAAAACATTTTTATGACGTTTTATATGTCTCGAATACTGATAACTGGTAAAGCTGAAGAAGTTAAACTTCATTTATTTTATGCCTAGCTCTTACTTGCGACTTCGCTTCGTGTGTTTTTCATTGGTAAGTTTCATTTATAAATAAGTGTCCTACTTGAAAAGACTATTAACTTATAATACAGTTAATTGTCTTTTCGATGCAAGCTTAATAAGGTTTTTAGTCAGTAAAAGTCTGACAGTTTCGCCTCACGCAGAGTGGAAGAAGTCATTTGATGATTTCCCATGTGCAAAATAAAAAAATTAAATACCCAGGAATACTTAAGTAAGTACCTAAATTATTATTTGGTACCTGTCTAACCTAACATACAAAATCTATCAACAGAATCCTGATTTCCCTTTTGACATTCTTACATTTAATTCTACTCCTATAAGTTTAGTAGTCATACAGAAAGTCACAGGTCTCTAGGAAAACTTGAAAAACGCTCTGAGCATGAGTAAGTTATGATCAAAATGTTAGAAATAAACTTTTTTAGGGACAGAAACTTTGATTTAGGTTCTTTTGTGAGAGCTTCGGAACTATATTTTCTTTGAACACTATGTGTACATAATAAATGAGTTTTTATCTAGTAGGGCGGCAAATAAGCAGACTTACTCTGATGGTAAGCAATCAGCGCCGACCATAGACGACTCTAACAACAAAGGAGTTGCAAATACGTTGCTGGCCTTTTGTATTGGGAGTGTCAGGCTTTTTAACCGACTTCCAAAAAGGAGGATGGTAAGTTCTCTAGGGAGTAAATTCTACATACCCAACAACAACAGTATTAGAAAAATATATTGATCGGTACCTACTAATCATCAAATTAGCAAGAGGTATGTAGGTAATATCTTTACACTGTTATAGTTTTACTTGGCACCGACTTTAAGATTATAAAATTGTTATTAAATATATTTTCTATATAACTAAATGAAAATATGTATTACTTTGAACAAAGTAAATTTATTTTTTGCTTTTTAGTTTACTTTTTGAAGTCGGTTTTTTTTGTTAAATTTATTTTATAGTGACTGAAAACCACCCTGTTCATTCTCCTGCTCTCCGGCACGATGCATGCGGCGTTTGGAAATAATTTTGTCGATTCTGTTTTGGTAGGTATTTTAAATATTTCAAAATATAACTATATCGATCTCCTACTTATTAAGCTTGGCTTGAGCGGTCCCAGCGATAGCGGGCATTTACATACGTCACCGAGTATCACGTTCGAATTAGTTGGGCATGTTCGAGACCTACATAATTATTAAACCCTTAGATTTCATGACTAAAAAACAATTATTTAATTAACGTAAATAATTATTTAATAATTGTACTCATTATTCCTTGATGAGACCATTATAACTACCTACAAGAATTGAAAGAGTTCCTACACTATGTAAAAAAAAGTTCGTAAACGCTATATCTACCTAAGCTTTATTAAAGACAACATTATTTAATATACAGTGCATTGTTTATTTATTTTAAACAGTCTCATCTATCTCCTTACTACGCGGTCAGTAAGACCCCGCTCCGATAGCGAGGTCCGATTTCCCGGGCCTCGGGACCTGGGGGACGGTTATTGAAAAAGTTAGCGGCGCGGCCGAGGGCTGGCCGTGAATTAATGCCGCGCAAATACGGGGAACACTCCATGCTTTACCTTATCGAGGACCAAGTAAAAGAAATGTAAGGGATTTCGAGAGGAACCCGCGTCTCCCGCTCCGATTAAATATTAGGGACCGAATTAAAACGTGATTGATATTGATTTTTTTCACTGAGTTTGTTAAATAGTACCTAATACTCGTACTTGTTTGTATATATGTATAGGTTTGTTTGGTGTTTGTTATTACAACATGCTACATTTACCATTACTATCGGGTGCGTTTACAAATCACACTCATACCGTGAACAACAATTTGTGGATCATACAAAGAGATGTTCCTTGCAGAAATTGGTCCCGCGACACGTTGTAGGTAGCTCTTTATATTTCAATGGACCTAATTACGAGAGAAACTAAAATTAAACACAAAAGTTTTTGGAGGTATAATTTATCGTATAGATTTGTACAAAAACCAGATAGACACAAAAAATTATTTTCTATGCTCACTTTAAAATGTAAAGATAATTTTAAGAAAGTACTTGCTATCTTAAGAGTACCTACCTACATTTTCCATTGGCAAGAAAATTAAGCCATCACCTTACAAAATAAGGTTTCAGAACTGAAGGATGAATCACCGAATTTTCATAACGTCTCCCTGTTTGATGGATACGGTGGTATCGTGGGATGTCATGGGAATATTGTTGAGATAATTATGTTAGCTTTGTTTATGAGGTAGGAAAATATCCAATTTTATTCACTTAATGCGTTCAGATATAATGTTATTAGATCAGTTTAGAAATGAAATTACAATTCAACTTCATTACGACACTAGCGACCCACCCCAGATTCGCACGGATGCAATGCTGAATCTAAATTTCTCTACGATTTAATGGATGTTAGATAGATAGATAACATATTTATTCAGCACAAACAATAACAGACACAAATTAATTGACAAATAAGTGGGTACACAATATGTATGTTATTATACGTATACGTATAAATCTTCCACTTCAGTCGCTCTAAGAATCTTTTAATCAAAATCCGTTGCGTAGATTTTAAGTTTAAAACACACATACATAGGGATATACGGACAGAGACAGCTCCTTTGTTTAATACTAAGTATACTTATAGACGATCCCACCAAGAAACGATTTTTAATCTTTAATCTATATCATGCCATGGCCAATAGTCAGTCAACCATTTCATGAAATTCTTAAACTTTTCATGGACATTTGTTTGAGGAAATTAACTTATAGATACATAATTATATTAATTAAATGTCAACAGTTCGTTGCTGTCTATGGTTTTCATATGAAAATGAGGTTGAAATACCTACAAGGTAGTTAATGTAACCTTCATGGCTATTATTAATTACGATTAAACATTACCTACATTTTTGAATTTTTTGGCGTTCTACATTTTTTATGTAGACAACTGCAGAGTTGTTGGGCTTGGAAAGTCAACATTTTTCATTAATTTTTGAACTTCCCTTTTAACTGTGAGATAGCCGTGTTTTGGCACGAATGTGGTGTGGATAGATACCACGGCCTCCCAGAAAACCGGCGCAAAGCAACATTTACGTTGTTTTTCGCCGTGTGATTGAGGTTACTGGAGGCCCAATTCTTCCCACCACCACCAATTCTTTCCACAAGTAGATATATTTTTTATTGAAAAAGTTGGAAATATTAAAAATATTTAAGTAAATATGATGAAATAAATATGACTCACATACCTGTATATGAATATATTTAATATCTACTTCAAAGAACGTGAATTTATTTTTAGTTTATAAACTCCACTGATTAGCTAACTTCCCCAGTTTGCGGAGCAAGTCCGAGCTTTTAACGGACGCTGTATACTTTCCAACCAGTGCTTATTATAAAACTTTTTGCACATGGAATTGCTGAAGGCTACACGTGGATGAGATGGCACGAGCATTGACCTTCAATATATTAGAGCAGGTAGTATTTATACAAGTGGTTGTGTTATTTGTACATACCTATACATACCTAGGTGCTACATACGAATAAAAATGAGCTCAAGTTCAGTTACCTACTATTACATACATATAGTTGCCGTATCATATGTAATTATTATAATATACACAAAACATAAGCAACTTTGATTTTTTTTAAAATATTGACCATGTATGCCAAGTCAAAGTCAAAGCATCTTTATTGTGGGCATATGTGAGTTACAGGTCTTAACATTAAATTAAAGAATCAATATGTCCTGCCTTATAGGCATACAATAATTATGAGGGTACTTATAATAGCATAGTAATAATTATATTAGCATAAAAAAATTTGGAATTATTAAGAATGGAAAAAGTTATTATAAATGTAAAAGTACAGTGAAGACTATTACATGGTCAATATTAATGCATGTCAAATACGGTGAAACTAATACATAATCATACAAAAAATACTTTATGTCAAAATACAGTGAAACTAATAAACGGTCAAAAATTTAAGAAATCTTGGATCGTGTAGTACGCTTTATCAATTAAAAATGTTCGTAGTTTATTTTTAAATACTGCAAGTTTCTTAGTGTCTAGAATGCTAATAGGTATTTTGTTATATATTTTTGATGCCATGCCAAAGAAGCTTTTGTTAAATAGACCGTTTTATGTGGTATATTAGATTTTTTTTTAATTATGCCTTTTCGATTTAAGTTTTTCAAATAGATTTTCATTTGTTTTTTATAAAAAAAAAAATATTTTTAGTTCTTTGAAATATGGTTTGCATGTATCTGGAACACGAATACCAACCATCGCTCGAACACATCTTTTTTGCGCCTTGAACACCAAATCCTTATCAGTTGCATTGCCCCAATAAATGACTGCATATCTCAGTGTTGCCGAGATATAAGGATGATATGCGGTATACAGCACGATATGACATAATTATGGCTTAACATCTACACAATATTTAACAACACCCGGGAGTCGAACCCAGGTCCTATTGCTGGCGCTGGTCTGCGCACCGCGAATAAGGGTAGCTCGCCTACCGAACTGGACAAGGCCCGAGCGTACGGAGCGTAGCTTTCCGCGCGCGCCTCAAGGAATCAGTAGACCACCACAGATGGGGGCCCAAACAGGACCGATGATCAGGTGGGGTTGCGGGGTAAGCAGAAGGAGTAGTTTTAAGTCAGTAAGAGTCTGGCAATCTTTCTTGCCTCACCCTGGGTGAGCGAAGTCATTTGACGATTTTCCAACTCAAAAAAAAAATATCCTAGCCTATGTTCAGCAGATATGCCGATCTCACTGACATGCGAAGATAATGATGTGAAATGTCAAATGTTTCAGTTAACAATATTGTTATAGTAACTGAGAGAGTCACAAGAGCGTGAAAGTAAAATATATGATTCCAGTATATTATAGTGCAATATTTCACTTGGAACAGTTTGTCAGCGGTCCGATGGTTGGGTTCATCCCGTTAAACTAAACTCATGCTGTTGCAATACGTATGGCGATGGCAATAGCAACTGTTAAATAAAACAACAATATTTTACAATGACGCATCATTTAATTAGTAATTAATTCATGTACACGTATAGTTACCGGTCTCTAGATAAGACAAAACAACCGGAGTCAAATAATTCGGTATGTCTTTACCATAAATGAAATCAAGATGGCCGAATGTCTTATCGGAGAGAACACACAGTGAAGATTTTTGTAGTTTGGTTTGTAGGAACTTTATGTCAGTGACATTGGCGACATAGTCGTTCTCACTGCCCAAGAAGACCCAGGGCATTGAGACACTAGACAGGTCATACTGTGGAGGCCTTGCTGTGCCATAATTGATTAGATTTTTGATCAATCCAAAGTCGTATTCAGAAAAGCCGTTGTTCTGGATCTGTCCCCATCTTATGAAGTTCTTAAGAGATGTCCCTGAAGGAGTATGCCCAAATACTACAGGTAAAACTTCGTCTGTGATCTGGAACTGATTGTACCCTAGAACCGCGAAGATGATGGAAGAGCAAAATGGATACGCCAGTGTTGTAGTGCCGCAGAATAACTCCCCTGCATTCTGCACTAGACCATTGCGTTTTAACACTTCCATGTTCAGTAACGGACCGGTCAGTGTCAACCCCGGGGCAATGAGGCTCTGCAGCTGGATCACGATGAATCTGGAGTGATCCAACCACGCCGTAGGTGACAACCCAAAGCCAACCTTTACTTTATCATTGTACTCGGGCTTCTTGGCACAAAGGATTAGCAACATGGAGACTCCCTGAGAGTGCGCGACGTACGACAGCTGTGATTCTTGAGTTTCAAGTAAGACATAATCTATGACTGCGGGTAGATCTAAGACGGCCATTTCGTCAACGGAAAAGTCCCAGAATTTTGAGTCTCTGTTGGGGTTCAGCGTTGTGTGGTTTCTGCTGTAGAAGTTTCCTCTGACGTTGGGCACCCAGACGTCGTAGCAGTTGTCAGAGTAGACGTAGCAATGCGCTTTCCCGGGGCCTGGTATGAGGCAGTCATCTCCGCTGAGGTACAGACCGTGCATGAACATCATCACACCTTTGGAGGTCTTGCAACTTTTCTGTATGGGTAATCGGAAAAGGCCTAAGATATAGCCATCTTCGGTGGTCACGAAATGCTGTTCAGCGGTGTACCCATCATAGTTAGCTAGTTCGAGGAATGGCAGGTCTTGTCGCGGTGACACCTTGATGCCAAACTTTGTTTCGATGTCATTGGCACTCCAGACAGTGTGCACAATGGAGAGTAGTATGCAGCAAAAGTATTTCATGATTTTCCTGATCGCATTCCTGGAATATTTAAAATAAAAGTTGAGGGTATGTAAAGCATATGAAATTTATATTTAGTAGTAACCTTTACTCAGTAGGTACTATGTCATTTAATTTTACTATATTGGATAACTATCCAAGGTCCAGATTATAATTGTCTTCGTTAAAAAGGGTAATATTGTGAATATATACAATAAAATTACGGATAGAAAACGTTTACCGGTTTTTTTATTTAATTACACAAACAAAGAACCAGTTTGGTGTTAATGACAGGAATTCAAGTTTTAGTTATCATAAAGTATATTTTTAGTTAAAGCCTTGAGTAGTTATAAATACTAGAATGATAACAATAGGGACTTTAGTTTACCTTACAAAACACAATCTATTAGAAAACAAAACAAAAGCTTTGCAAGCCGCAAGTCATTAAACCCGTAGGAATATATTTAACGTAAAAGAAATCATTTTCTTTAGGGAAGTACAAGTAAATCAAATCGAAAAAAGTTTTCTATAGTTAAAATAAATAAGTAAGTACTAACCTTTTATCTTATTACGAGAAAGATGACACAGTCGATTCACAAAATAGCAACTGCTTTATATAGCATCTTTAATTTATTCTTAATTAAACAATATATTAATTTATTCTTATTTATTAAGACAGTAACTATCCGAACTAGGTATTTGAAATTAGGCTTTCTACACACGATTTCAGCTATAAATTAATTATATAATATTATGGGTGTTACTTGTAAGAAGAAAGATTTTATTTTGTGAGGGGAAAATCATCAAATGACTTTATCCCGCGCAGGATCGAGCGGGAGGGAATGTCAGACTCTTACTGACTAAAAGGCCCCCGTTCCATCTCCTGCTCTGGGCCGAGGAAGTAGTGCCTCATTGCGCCTGCCCCGCAACCCTGACTGTGAGAAGAAGTATATGGTACCAAATAAATACTATAGATATCTATATTGACTTGTGTGTGGCAGTCCTAGTGGGTAACCTGGTTCGTGCAACGTATTGCGGGTTTGACACACACCAGGAAAAAAATCTTTATGCGATATTCATGTGTTGGGTAGGGGTGTATTATTTATGTGGAATTCTATATTCATACTCTCTAATGGTACAAGAGAGCCGAAGTTGCAGGTCAAGCGCAATATGGTAAACGCAGCCCTGGTCTGGAGTCGATGAAAGACCGGGGTGGTTTTGAGTGAATAAGAGTCCAACACTCCCTCTCGCCTCACCCTGGGCGAGAACAGTCACTTGATGACTTTCCACCTCATAAAAAAAATAGGAAAAAATAATAATGTGAGAAAAGGATTATTAAGTTAAGAATCAAATCGCAACAGTACATTAACATGGATCTCGACACACACAAACGCACGGTTAACTGCTACACGGGCATTATTTTGTTATAAATTTTTTTTTCTATTGCCTGATGATATAGAATTGGTGAAATGACCTGAAGGTGTACTTCTGACACCGCTACTAGAACTCCTCAACGGTATAAGCTAAATGTGCCGAGTTTTGGCTCATTTTGTTAAAGTGCAATTTCCGCTAATAAATGCATGTAGGCCGAAATTAAGGAAGGCCCAATGAAAATTTGCTTTTCACGGTTTTATTTCGATACTTTACGGGGTCACAAAGATAGCAACTTCAATTATGATAACGGAATTGAAAACCGTTGGGTGGAACTAGTAATAAAAAAAACATTAAATAAATCTAACAAACCCGGTGTTCTTTCGCATCACTGCTATTGTGGAAGATGACTCGACAGCTTGAGACACCATCGTCTTTCTAGGTACAGAAGTACTTACCAGCATTAACGATACTTATTATCCGCCGCGCTATTTCTTCAGCCGGCATACCAGCTTTATTAGAAATTCGCTGGGTACCTGGTTATAAGAAGAGACCAGATTCTATACAGTTGCAGAATTGAATGATGGGTCCCTGGTGTCTAAAGCGACACGTATCGACACCTTACCGTGTGGGGCTTCAGAGTGGAAACAGCGACTGTCGCAACCGAGGGCCGGGCACGCTACCATAGCAGCGGTAAGACCCCTCTTTGAGGAGTGGCTTGAGAGACGCCACGGCGTCCTCACCTTCCGTCTGACGCAGGTGCTTACCGGGCACGGCAGCTTCGGTAGGTTCCTGTTTCGGATTCAGCGGGAGGAAACGCCCGAGTGTCGTCATTGTGAGGACCACCTAGAGGATACGGTGGAGCATACGGTAGCGGTATGCCCTGCCTGGGCTGAGCACCGCCGTATCCTCAGGGAAGTGATCGGCGGCGGCGACCTCTCGCGCCCGGCCTTAGTCGAGGCCATGGTGCGGAATGAGAGGAACTGGGACGCCGTCTCCTCCTTTTGTGAAGCAGTCATGCTCGCAAAGAGAGAGGCGGCCCGCGTGAGGGAGCAATCCTCCTCCTCACGCCCCAGCAGCCGCAACTGGCGACACTACGGGCGTCGGGGATCGAGGGACGATCTCCGGCCACCGTAAGTACGGGCCTGCGGTCGGCGAGTAAGGGCAGCTCGCCGCCCGACCAGAACCAGGCCCGAGCGTACGGCGCGTAGCGTTCCGCGCGCGCCTCAAAGAGCCAATAGACCACCACAGACGGGGCCCTAAAGGGCTGATGTTCAGCCGGGGTTGCGGGGTAAGCGCAATGAGGTACCGCGACCTCGGCACAGAGCAGGAGAAGGAACAGGGGGGTTTTTAGTCAGTAAGAGTCTGACACTCCCTCCTGCCCGGCCCTGGGCGGGAGAAGTCATTTGATGATTTTCCCCTCACAAAAAAAAAAAAAAAACCGTGTGGGGCTTAAGCCAACTTGCGTAGGCCTTTTTTTATCGACCGCCGCCGATCACTTCCCTGGGGACACGGCGGTGCCCAGCCCAAGCCGGGCACACCGCCACCGTATGCTCCACCGTGTCCTGTACCTGTCCAACTATTTTAATTTAAATGTGATGGCACATCACTCAGTCATTATCATTAAATGCACTATGGAAGTGCACTTAAGGATAATCGCCGATTGATGCAGGGTTTGCGATGACATAGACTGGTAGACACGATAACTACGGACATGCTACTGATCCTTGCCCCTGACCAATATTGATGCATACGGATAAATCGGTAAGGGGTGACTGGCAAACTTAATTAATGGGTTCTCGGAAACGGCTACAAGTATGTAGAGACACGGGAGCAACAAACGTTGAGCTGCTTTAGGAAGGGGACGGCTATCAGAGCAATCCCGGAGGTACGGTAAAGTTTCCCAACAGCAGTTTACTAAGGTGCATTCATCCCTCGAATCTCCTTCAACTCCTACTCTTGCGAATTTCCTCTCAAGCCAGCCAATCAAATCGAGAATGAGGAAGAAGTGGTTGTTTCTTATCAGTGTCTAGCTAGTCACGCCTAGCTAGACACCCTCCGGGAGTCAGGTCCATAATGGGTTCACCACTGCCCAAAAGATCGCCACAAGCTGCCTTGTGGAACTATTAATATTGTTATATAAGTGTTTATTAATAAAACATAATATTCAAATACAAATATTTATCTTCAATTTTAATTCTAGAAACCCCATGTAATAGCACTTATAAGTGTTTTTACAGGTGATATTAATTTTCATGTTAATAGCATACATCAAAAAATTGTGCTCATAAAACAATGTTTAAAATTAAACATGTATAAAGCAAACCATCTGTGTTAATTGTTGCATAAACCGTTTTAGGCATTTTCCCCGGCGACTTCAACCTGTATCCGGTGATCGCAAAGGTGACCTCTTGACCTGGCAGTGATGTTAGAGGGACGTTTGACGTTAAACCATGGTGTTCAGGTAGAATCAAATGATGGATATGAGGATACAGGTGGCACACTGCGCACAAGTCGTTCAAAAATGTGTTACTGTAGACAATGCAAATAGGTAGGTAATAACTCTTAACGTTAATTTTATTGTCGATCTTGTCAATAGGTATGGCCAATTTTTTTTATAAACCAATTACACCATATACAAGTACCTATGAAACGTTTTTAGTCAGTAAGTGTCTGATACTCCCTCTCGCGTCACTCAGGGCAGAAGAAGTCATTGGATGATTTCTGTCCTCAAAAATAAGGAGACGGAGGAAGTGCGTCAGCTCCATTGTTTTTCCTTCGCTGGCTTTGTGGTTGCTTACTTGCAACTAGCTTATGAAGGCGAATATAGCATTAGTCCTGGTCGATCATATTAAACATTGTAACTAGATCAATACGTTTTTTAGGTTTGGTTAGGTACATAGTAAGTAATTTACAGGTTACAGTTAGGGTAGGTGAAGTGCTCCACTTGGCTGCATCGTGGCTACATCCATGGGCGATAGCAATAGCAACTGTTAAATAAAACAAAAATATTTTACAACAACGCATCATTTAATTAGTAATTAATTCATGTACACGTATAGTTACCGGTCTCTAGATAAGACAAAACAACTGGAGTCAAATAATTCGGTATGTCTTTACCATAAATGAAATCAAGATGGCCGAATGTCTTATCAGAGAGAACACATAGTGAAGATTTTTGTAGTTTGGTTTGAAGGAACTTTATGTCAGTGACATTGGCGACATAGTCATTCTCACTACCCAAGAAGACCCAGGGCATTGAGACACTAGACAAGTCATACAGCGGAGGCTGAGCCCTACCATAATTGATTAAATTTTTAGGCAACCCATAGTCATATTCAGAAAAGCCATTGTTCTGGATCTGTCCCCATCTTATGAAGTTCTTAAGAGATGTCCCTGAAGGAGTATGCCCAAATACTACAGGTAAAACTTCGTCTGTGATCTGGAACTGATTGTACCCTAGAGCCGCGAAGATGATGGAAGAGCAGAATGGATACGCCAGTGTCGTAGTGCCACAGAATAACTCCCCTGCATTCTGCACTAGACCATTGCGTTTTAACACTTCCGTGTTCAGTAAAGGCCCGGTCAGTGTCAATCCCGGGGCAATGAGGCTCTGCAACTTGATCACGATGAACTTGGAGTGATCCAACCACGCCGTAGGGGACAACCCAAAGCCAACCTTTACTTTATCATTGTACTCGGGCTTCTTGGCACAAAGGATTAGCAACATGGAGACTCCCTGAGAGTGCGCGACGTACGACAGCTGTGATTCTTGTGTTTCAAGTAAGACATAATCTATGACTGCGGGTAGATCTAAGATGGCCATTTCGTCAACAGAAAAGTCCCAGAATTTTGAGTCTTTGTTGGGGTTCAGCGTTGTGTGGTTTCTGCTGTAGAAGTTTCCTCTGACGTTGGGAACCCAGACATCGTAGCAGTTGTCGGAGTAGACGTAGCAATGGGCTTTCCCGGGGCCTGGTATGAGGCAGTCATCTCCGCTGAGGTACAGACCGTGCATGAACATCATCACACCTTTGGAGGTCTTGCAACTTTTCTGTATGGGTAATCGGAAAAGGCCTAAGATATAGCCATCTTCGGTGGTCACAAAATGCTGTTCAGCGGTGTACCCATCATAGTTAGCCAGTTCGAGGAATGGCAGGTCTTTTCGCGATGACACCTTGATGTCAAATGTGGTTTCGATGTCATTGGCACCCCAGACAGTGTGCACAATGGAGAGCAGTATGCAGCAGAGGAACTTCATGATTTACCTGCTCGCATTCCTAGAACATAAAAAATAAAGTTGTAGGAAGGTACGTATTCGAAAATGATAGTAGTTTATTAGGTAATAAAAACCATTTGAGAAACACACAGCGTAAAGATACAAATTATTACTGACTTTAGCTTTAAAAGGGGAAATAATTGTTCAAAAAAAAAATACTATATGTCTACCGGTTTTTAAATTTAAATATCCAAACAAAGAACCAGTTACGTATTAATATAGGGACATGAGGTTCAAGTTTTAGTTATCATGAAGTTAATTACTTT